AGCCATAGTTACAGATACAGGTTCTTCTCAAGCACACATGGAACCATCTCCAGAATAGACCATATGGTGGGACACAAAACAAGTCTCAGTAAATTTAAAAAGACTGAAACCATACAAAGTATGTCTTTGACCACAACAGAATTAAATTAGATATCCACAGCAGGCCCGTTTTTTTTTTTTTTTTGCTTTAGCTTGCTGTAAAAGTGGTGAATCCCTCAAGCCCAGGGTTCTACTCCTGTAAGAACCTACTGCCTGTGCAGGCATCCATCATGAGCCCTTTGCATTGTCTTCGTGGGACTTGTGAGGCATTGGGGTGCTGACAAAAATAAACCAGAGGCACTGGCCACTGCCATCGTCCTAAGTAATAAAGTGCTTTGTCTTTGACACAAGGCTCGTTCCTTCGCCAGTTCCCATGAAGCACTAATAACTCTCTTGTTAACTCTTAAGTGAGGTGAAAGCTCAGACTCCAAACAGTTCTTGATAATTTCTGTATGTTCTTTGAACATATTTTAATAGCTGCTTTGAAGTCTTTGTTAAATCTAATTTTCAAGTACTCTCTGAGACATTTTGTACTGACTGCCCTTTTTACTTCTCGAGTATGGGTCACACTTCTTTGTTTTACACTTCCTTCTTTCTTTTCATGTCTAGTCATTTTTTTTTGTTGTTGAATATTGGATAATTTTGAATAACATACCATAGCACCTACAAGTTTTGACTCCTCCTCCCCTCCCCAGCTTTTTTGTTTGTGTACTATCTTGCCTGGACTAAATCTGTGATGTCTGTCTTCCCCACAGTGTGTAATCACTGATGTTTCTACTTAGCTTTGGGTTGAATTTTCTTGTTTTTATTTTTAAGTCTGGTTTTCTAGGGGTAACTCCTGTGTCTGTATGCACTAGTGTTTAGCAAATATCAGTCAGAAGTTGTGCTCAAATATCTCAAGCCAATAAGCCTTCCACTCAGCCGATGGATCTGTATTGGTTTGGGGAATGCATTAAAAATTCAGGGCATTTTTAGTCTGCCCACGCTTTTGCTTTCTGCCAGACTCTCTCAGTTGTCTTCCAAACATACATATAGGTTCCACTGGCCAGGACATGTGGGCGGCTTGGGCCTGCTCTGTCTTTGCTGCATATACACATGGCTTTCAGTTAACCTGCGACGAGTGAAGAGCTTATTAAATCTTCTTATCGCTTTTTCACCTCACTAAGCTCCCTGTTAAATATCCAGCAATTCTACCATCCATTGTTTGTCTCACAAAACTCACAACCTCAGACTAGCAGAGCTAACCAGCCCTTCCTGTTCACTTGCTACCAAGATTTGCCATGTGAACTGACAATGCTCCACATCAAGTAAGCCCCCTCTGGCAGCGCTGCGAAGCCACTGGTTTCCAGGGCCTGCCTTCTGCTGGTTGAAGACCACCCCAACAGAACTGGGGGGCTGGAAGCAACCCCAAGCAAGAATACCACAGACTTGCATATTTTCCCTATTATTTATGATAGTTTTTATGAATAAATGCCTCTCAATTTGGTGTACGCCTTGGGACAGTTCCCAGTTTTTTGTCCAGCTTTATAGCTGCCAAAAAGTTCCCAAAAAGGGAAGAGAATTTGTTGACTTCCTCAAAGCATCGTGCTAGAAGTCTTAAGTCCCAGTCTATATCACCATGCCTTGGTCCTGCTAACTTACCTGCCTATTTGATTCTCTTGGGTTATGTAAGACTATACTGCTCAGCCAGAACATGGAACAACAGCAATAGAACCAGTCTGGGGATAGTGGGTCAAGAATGTGAGCACTACAGTGGACATGGATTTTTTTTCCCTTGGCTAATTAGGAATCGTTTATGATTATCCAGCATTATTTATACTTTTATTCCATGTATAACTATTAAAATACATTTGCAAAGCAAATGTTTACATATCATAATTATATAAATATTATTTGTATATACTTTGTATCAGCTAAAAAGATTAAAATATTGCCTTGTGTAATGAGAGTCTAAAACACTGGTCTCCATTGCACTGACATTCTCTCTGAATTTTCTTCCACTGATTAATTCAATAAATTACATTTATCAATTATGTAAAATGTACAGAGGCATGGTGAGTGATTCCCAGATGAAGCAGATACATATTTTATCCTCAGGGGGCTTATAGGTTAGTGTACATAATAGAACATGAACATGAAAAATATAAGTGGGAAATGCTTGATGCCATTAAAGAATTACAGATATGTGCTATAGAAGCTCAGTAGGCTAATTGGATGTTCCCTGAGTGATTCAGTTATCACCTGTTATATACTTCCATCACCTAGTCTTTACAGCTTACATTCCCTTCCTAGTTGCCTTTATACCTAATATTCTTGTGTTTGTCACCCACTTAAGCTAGTCGTGATGGTAAAATATACCTAGTACTTCCATGTGCACTTTTCTTATTGATTTTCATCTGGTTCATATCAGCCTGGGATGTGGATAGGGAGTGTTATCTGTTCTAGTTTATAGACAAGGAAACTGAGATCAGGTAGACTAAGCAACCGGCCCAGCCTCACATTATTAGGAAATGGCAGAGTCAAGTTTTGAACATAAGGTCTTCGTACCTTATGTATGAATTCCTGGGCTTTTTCTAGTATGCTCTACTGCCTGTCGTTACAGACTTCCTTTTCTCTCTGGCCAGCAGATAGCTGAGAAAAATTTAGCTTGGCGAGTTGGGTCAGACTTGGAGGTATCCTAGTGTGTTTTTGAACAGGCACAGAAATGAAGCAGGGAAGCAAGGCTGTTCAGTCCGCTCTGAACCATTTCCCTCTAAGGGTTTTAGGGACTTTTAATTTTACAAAAATCAGAGATCCATATTTCTAGTTGCTTCTTACACATTTCTCTTGCGGATGTTGGATCATTACTTTAGACATAGCATGTTCAAAACCAAATTCATCTCTCCCTCAGTTTGTTTCCTCTTTCTCTTTTGGCGACACCACTAACCACCCTTTCTCTTACACCAGAAACCCAGGAGTCCTGGACTCCTTTTTTACCTTCACCCCAACATCTAATCCTGTCATTTCCACCCTGCCTCATAGGGTTGTTGTGTGAATAAATCGACACAGTATATGAAAAAGAACACAAAGCTGTGAGAGGTATATATTTCCTCTGAGAGGCAGAACATCTGTTTGAAGCATAAGGGATAAGAATGAGGCCTCAGTGGCCATTCAGACTTAACTTTGTTATAATGTTGACATGTCGGTGAAGTGTGGATTGTGACTTCATAGTCTTACATTTTGATAGCACTCTATATTCTCAAAATCACTTCCTTAGAAGGAGGAAAAGGAACAAGTGAGAGAGAATAACTGATTTGCTCAAGGTGACACAATTAGTAAGTGGCACAACCAGGACTAGAACTCCTCTGTTGGCTAAATCCAGAGGCTTCTTAAACTAAAACCAGCATTGGTTTTAACATTCCCCCACTTATTATGTGTGACCTTGGATGAGCAAGTTATTCCTTTTAAATGTCAGTCTCTACATATAAGACAGATAAAATGGTAGTACCTATAGAGTTGTAAGGATTGAATGAGTCCATATAAAGAGCCAGAGTGCTGTGTAGAAAGTGTTCAGTAAATGGTAGCTATTGGATTACTCTTTCTGCTTATCCACCTATCTAGAGACTTCAGGTTGGTTTTCTTCTGTCTTTTAGAGAATGTGTTCTCTCTGGCATTTATTTAGACTGCTTCACATTAGAGTCTCTTACAGTTCACAGATATTTCCAGGAGGTTGTTGCCCTGTCATTTCATTGAAAACTAGAGAATTTCTGTGTTTTCTTCTCTACTTCTCTTCTGACTTTCCCGTTAAGGTTATGATGACACAATTGTAGTGAATTCTTTTAGTTAAAAATTGTGAGATTAAACTTAATACTTTCTGGCCCCAAGGCAAAAGAGATTTTAAGTTTAATATTAGGGAAAAACTTTGAAAATCAGAAGGGTCCAAGGGACTGCCTTAGGTTATAAAGCTATCCACAATTACAGGTGTACAAACAGGGCTTTTAACTAGTCTAGTGGAGCTTTGCCTTCCCACTGCTTCATCTATCCCCTCTGGTCCTGGAGGTCTGTAAGCCATTGTAATATGCACTACAGTAACAAACAGATAAGCTACCTAAGTATTGTATTTTTGTGGCTTTGGAATTTTTGACTCATGATTTCATACTGTCATAGTTAAATGAATTGATCAGATCGCAAATGAACTATAATTTAGTGAAGTGAGGAAGGTCGTCAACTTCCCTGGGTATCGCCAACACAGAGAGCAGAGTTTCATGTTAGACTAAAGTTGAAGGTGTGCCTCTCGAATCAGGGAAGGGTTGAAGACACACACAGCTGTGCAGTGAAGTCACGGTAGCCCGGAACCTGTTGAATGTAACTAGGCTCATGCATACTACACAAGTTACTCCATGTTTTGATAAAATAGAAGAAAAGATTTCAGTTTTATCACATATAAGACTTTTACATGCAAAGTTTGACAGATGTTGCATGCTGCTTTCAGGATTAGAGGAAATTACTTGGGTACTGCTGTGTCCTTCTGTGAAATATTTTATTCTCAACCGTCACCCTCCCTGTGCCTTGCCCACAACCATTACAGTGACCAGAAAGTCTGCTTGCTCCGCAGCAATGTGTCTTGAGTATTGCCCATTAGTTTTCAGTAATTACCCTGGCCTGCATGTCAGCCTTCAGTTTAATGGCCTTCTTTATGTTCATTCATTTTGTTTTATTTCCCATCGTGGTTTTGTTTATTTCTTTTTTGTTTTTTGTTTTTTCTGTTCTCTTTTTTAAAACCGTCGTGGTTTGCCCTTCATATTCCCCAATGTTTGCACATGACAAGATGTTGCCATCCCAACATTACCTCCCACTTCACTGACCAGTGCCACTACTGACCATCTAGCACCAGCCACAACGGGACCACTGCCTTCAGCTCCTCGGGATGTCGTGGCCTCCCTGGTCTCTACCCGCTTCATCAAACTGACGTGGCGGACACCGGCATCAGATCCTCAGGGAGACAACCTCACCTACTCTGTCTTCTACACCAAGGAGGGGATTGCTAGGTAAGTGCCTGTATGTCTGGAACCAGTCGGCTACATCTTGTTCCACTCAGCCCAGTTGTGCTCACCTGCTCTTTGTTGTGCAGGATCTGTACCAATTTTCAGTCCATAAAATATCACTGAGATGCATCTTCTCTAATTTTAAGTCATTAGAAATAAATTCCCAAACAGACTGAAATCCTGGTATTCCTTCTTGCTGTTCTGGAATGACTTGGGGAAAGGGTAGTTAGAGCTATTTAGGTGGAAGTATTAAAATGTAACCAGATCTACCCTTTTTTCATTAGTTTCAGTCAGCTCAGTCTATAAGATATGGCTTATTTAGAACTTTCAGATTGTAGAAATTAAGGTAGACTTAATTTATTAAAATAATCTGCAATGAATGTTTGCCTGCACCCTTATGCAGATGTGGCTGCTGAACTTCGGGGGGGATCTCCTTGATGACACAAGAGTAATTAGAGAGTTATTTCCTTAAAACAGCATTTTCATTAAATTCTCCATTTCCTCCTGTTTCAGGACCTCACATTGCCTCTCCATTGCTTATACGAGATTATCCAGAATCCTCAGGCTACTTTACTCCACAACCTACCTTTATTTTATCTGTTCAACCTTATTTTCCTTATCTCCAAGTTGAACTCACTTTCTCATGAAACGAGTCTAGTTCCTATCACTGTGTAACCTTTCTTCCCAGTCTGTTCTTTTCATTCAGTTCCCCCTTTCTCCTTTCTCATCTAAAGCTAAATTCAGTTAACCCTTCTTGGCCCTGGGATGCCCTCCTAAAGTTTTCTCTACCTTTTCAGCACATATAGCGTTTCTCTTATATGTGCGTTTGTACCACTCATATGGGCACTTAATTATGATAACACGTGATCTTACACAGACGTAAGTTGTTCCTCTTCGATTATTTTATGTGTATTTGTGTTGTTTTCCCAATTATAACGTCTTTGCGAGGAGCCGTGCCACATGCTGACTGTGTGTCCCTGGCATTGCTGTGTAGATTTCTTAATTGTGCTGTTACTTCAACCCAAAATAAGAAAGTTATCATATATATTTTGATTAGGGACCTAACACATGAAATACAGTTTATATTTCTACCAGGGTGCTAACATTTGACATATATTGTCTTTAATACCAGACTGGCAAGTTCAGCAAGTATAGGAACCCAAATCAAGTGAAGACCCCTTGATTTAACACTCTGGAGAAGTCTGTGACATTACTGAACCAGATAGATGGAGCCACCCATAGGATAATGTTTATCTGAACACTGCACTGGTTGTTTTGGGAATTACAAAGTTACAGAAACATAGTTATAGGCACAAAAAAAGCAAGACATTACTACCAAACAGCATTTGTGTTAGTGTCTCCAATCCACTTTCAAATCTCATTGCAAATTGCATAGTATTTCACAGCTGGAAGAAAGCATTTAGCAGTTCCTCAAAACAGAAGCTTGCTTCCACTGCAGGGCCTTTGCCCTATTCCTCCTACCAGAAATGCACTTCCCTCACAAATAACTGTCAGGCCCTTGTCTGTCACCCTCAAATAATACTACCTCAGGCCTTCCACAAACCCACCCAGCTTAGCCCCTCAGTCACTCTCACGCTGTGGTATACTGAAGCCATCTTTTTCCCAAGCCAATTGTTAAATTTTCTGGAAATTTTGTAAACCCATGACGTGACCTGGTAGTTTGAAATTGGGCATGGTGGGAGTACTTACAGTGACGGCGCTGCATACAAGAGCCAATTGTTAAACATCTACCAGAACACCCCTATCACATCACCCTATTTTATTTTTTTGCTTTTGTTTTAGAACATTTAGCACTCTGAAAAACATTTTTTTTTATTAATGTATTTGTTGTGTCTGTTTAATAGAATATCACTAGCACCTAGAACAGAGCCTGGCATATAGTAGCACTGAATAAATATTTGTTAAGAGAATAAATTAACCTCAGTCAGTGGAGAAATAATTATTCAAGAAATTATGTTGAAATAATTTACTCCTTTTGATAGAAAGGAGCAAAGTTCTCTGTTTTGTATCATGCATAACAACAAATTATAGATGGATAAAGAGATATTTTGAAACCTATAAATGTGTTAGAAAAAAATATAGAAATTACATTTATCATTTGCCTATGAAAGGCTTTTTTAAGGAAGACAAAATCCAGAAGCCGTATCAGGGGAGACTGACAAAGTTTTATTATATAGCACTGTAAAATTCTATATGATAAAACATAAACAAAATCAAACTGTCAAGTTATAACGGGAAAAATTTATAATAGTTACAAAAGATTTATTGATATTCAAGCTATACAAAGAGCTCCTACAACACAGAGATCCCAAGAAGCAAATGGTATGAGTAGATGATTCACAGAAGTTAGTGGAAAGCTCATTAAAGTTAAAAAAAAGATTTTCACTATCACTGACAATCTTGGAAATACAAAATAATGAGTTACCATTTTTCACCATAAGGGCTGGCAAAAATTTTAAGTTGATAATATCCAGTGTTATGCAAGTTAAATTCTGGGAAGAAATGTATTCTAGGCTCTTGGTGGCAGGATTTTGTTTCTTAATGCACATACCTTTCAGTCCAACAATTACGTTTTTAGGTTTCAATCCTGTAGATATCGATATATATGGATAGGGCTCTCATATATATAAGAATGTTCATTGTAGCATTGTTGTAAGAATGAAAAAGGAAACAGTGTAAATGTCTGTTGATTGAGGAATGGGTACACAATTAAAATATGTATATCCATATGAAGTACAAGACAGGAATTTTTAAGTGACTTATATCTGTATATTTCTATATGTATTGTGTAAATGCCTAGAGCCATGATTCTTAACCAGGCACAGTTTTGCCCCCTACCTCCCAGTAGACATTTGGCAACATCTGGGGACATTTTTGGTTATCGCAACTGAGATGGGAGGTGAGGCTTACTAGTATCTAGTGAATGGAAGCCAGAGATGCTGATAAACATCCTACTGTATATATCGCAGCCCCTTACAACAAAGAATTATCCTGCCCGTAATCTCAGTTCTGCTGTGGTTGAGAAACCCTGGCATGGAGAGAAGAAATGGAGTCAGGGAGACAAATCAGGTAGTATTTATGTTAATCGAGGCATGTGGTAGGTGTGGCCTGGATGAAGATGACAGCAGTGACTTGGAGTGGACAGAATAAATCTACGGAATATTTCAAAGGAAGATTCTTGAAGACTGTAATTTTTTTTGTCACTTCATTGCTTCATAATTTCTGCATAGAAAGCAGTGAAGGAGTAGAAAGAACAGAAGTAAAGTTTGGATCCTGATTACTTGTTATAAAGAAAATTTAACCTTTGTAGGCTTATATTTTCTCATCAAAAACGAGGGTAATGACTTCTCTTCACAGACTTATAAGAATTCCCTACTACTTGCATTTGAAAATTCAACCACTAGGTGGCACTACGTGCCTTGGTCATGAGTTGTAATTGTGTTGGGTTCCTGAATTTCCCAAGATTACGAAGGGTCCTTGCTCTACCTTGCGCAGTTATGAAATGTTAGCGTTGCCAAACCCCCCCCCCATGCCTTTAATGTAAACAGCAGTATTTTTATAATAGAGAACTCAGAATAAGTTATTCCAGAAATTAATAGCATTTTAGAAATGGACAAAGCTTTAGGTATGTAAGTCTAGTCTGGGAATTGGCAAACTGTGGACCCTGGGCCAAATCAGACTTGTTATTTTTATGGCCCTGGAGCTAAGAATAGTTTTTACATTTTCAAATGGTTACATTGTAATAGGTTATATAAGTAACTACATAATATTTTCCATTTTGCCTCTTGGCCTGTAAATATTTACTCTCAAGACCCTTTAAGAAAAAGTTTGCTATCCTCATCTCATTTTTTTTATTGAATAATGAATACATGAAGAAACTGAGGCCCAGAAAGAATTAGTGACTTGCCTATGGTCCACTAGCAAGCTAGTAGTGTTGCCAGAACTAGAATCATAGTTCCTCACATCTAGCCCAAGATTGTCTTGTCTTTCTGCTTTTTACTTTTAGCTAACACATTCTCAGTCCCATTGTGGCCCACACATTTAAGAGAATTGTACTTTACAGTTCACCCTGGATCTTGTCCTGAAGTCAGAAGTATTTTTTTCCAGGCAGACACTTGGTTCTAGGACCATAGACCAAACTAGTGTTAGAAGCCTTTTCAGGTGCTGGGACACATAAGTATTACTGATTTTTGATTATAATGCTTCTATTGAAATTTGTTCTAGGTTTTTAATTCCCTTCACTCATTTCTCCCATTTTTTCCCTTTCATATAAGAACAAACCAAAGATATACATGATATCATTACTATACAAGATTTGCATATCAGAAGGTAAATTTCCATTCATTTATTCAGCACACACGTGATACTGCTTCTGTAGTATGTGAACATGAATGAGACACTCACTTCATTTTAAAGTAAAGCAGTACCCCCCCATCTTTCTCAGAGAAAACTTATTCAAACTCTTATATGCAGTGTGAGCAAAACAGACATAAGCTGTGCTCTCACATGGAGTTTTTAGTTTGGTGAGATACTTCCTTTTAAACAGCAATCACTTGTGATCAAACCAAGTGTTAGAAACCTCAAATGTAAGAAATCAATTGACATCCTCCTTTTTAAACCTTGTTGTAATTAGACAGAGGTTTAGCTGAAAAAGTAATATCCATAAGTATCTCCACTTTCTCTGAGCAATGACTTTTGTTACTATAGTACTCTTTTCCAGTAGACTTGATTACAAACAACCAACCTCTGTAAATATGATGCTTGTACTGTTTGTTTGTTTGTTTAATTAAAAGAAGATAGTTTAAGGAACTTTAGAAAACTATTGAAAAACACTTAAATCTATGTTCATATACAATCAGACAAACTGGTATATGGTCGTGTAGAACTAAACAGTTTTATCAGTAATTTCATAGAAAATTATCAATATTTTAATTCATTAGGTAAATTCAAATAATTCCTTCCACAGAGCCCTTTTATTACTCAAGATAGGTACAGATCTTTCCTCATGTAATTGGCAATTTTTAAAGCCTAGCACTTTGTCTAAAACAAGTAAACTCCTTCACATTATTTGTTGATAACTCTTGTATAATATAATCTACTTTTTGCTATATTAATAACAGTACACTTAGCATAATTATGGACCCAAGTGTAGACATACAGACCCCTCTTCCAAGATAAAGCCTGGAAGTTTTTTTTTAAAAAGAACCTAGAAAATTGCTTTTATATTTTTATCAAGTAACACTAGACTGCTAGATTCATTGTACTTTTTGTGATTTGTCAAACATTTCAAATCAGTTTGAAAATCATTCAAAAAGTATTCATTTTAAGAAATAAATGATAAAAATCAATGTCATGATTAGCTTATTTTATAGATTAGTAGGTTACTTTTAGGATTCGTTTAAATTTTTAATGTTCCCAATTTTAAGAGTGATAATCTAATTTTCGTGAGAGTCTGTTATCCAAAATGTACACAGCATCCCTTGATATTTTCTGTGTGAATTGGGTCATAACCTGTAATCACCTTGTTTGTTTTCCTGAGAATCACCCCTTAAAATTCAGTAATTCTTAAAGCCTACAAAATTAATGACCAGCTGCCCCATTTGAAATGGCACTGACAAGACCCTTGTCTATGCTTCTCTGCAAGGACGTTGTGATTAGGACCAGCAATATCAGTAATATTTAAGCGAGAACATCAGCGAGTTATCAGACACGTATGACATTGCTCTTCACAAGTTTTCATATTCTACTCTGCACTGTTCCATCCCTAGAAGTTTTCTTTTTTGAAAGTTAATTTCTTAAATTGTTAAGATTTCAATGTGGTGTGATGTCTGTGGGAATTGCAATGAAAATGAAACTGTGTATCCTAGAAATATTCCTAATCGGTTCTGTCTCTTTCCAAATCCCTCTTTGTCCAAAGGGAACGTGTTGAGAATACCAGTCATCCAGGAGAAATGCAGGTAACCATTCAAAACCTAATGCCAGCAACTGTGTATATCTTCAGAGTTATGGCTCAAAACAAGCATGGCTCCGGGGAGAGTTCAGCTCCTCTGCGAGTAGAAACACAGCCTGAAGGTAAGTCTTCCACCTGTCTGTCAGCCCCGCCTGTAGCTAGACCTTGTATGAAGATCTATCTTCTGTGTGTAGCCTTGCACATTTTAGTGCAAAAGATAACCATTCTTCACCTTTGAGAATTTTATGAATTAAGAGAGATAAAATTAATTCACTTCAAACGGTAGCAAATAGTATAATACAATATAACTGCTGACACATTCTCAAATTTTACTGATCCTTTAAGACCTAGCTCAGCTGCCTTCTAGAATCTTTCCTTTGATCCTATCTAATATTGTATCTCTACAGTTCCTTCCACTTTCTTCCTTAAATTGTTATTGTGAATAGACTTCATTTATTTTATGGTAAAGACAGAGTTTTTGTCATCCTTATATTTCTCATGGTATCTAATGTAGTGCCTTACCCATGAAGTAGATATTTAATATTTGTTATTTACCAGATTGTCCTGATTTTTATACGCACCACACTCTTTGGAATCTCTTTAAGGCTTTACTTTGGACCTATGGTTTTTTGTGCCAAATAGTGCTACTTCCAATTACATTTCTTAAGATTCTCTGCAACTGAAATGAGTGTCAGATTGACTTATTTTATAAATGTCTTGAATGTCTTAAATTTTGGTTGTAAACTATAGGCCTGAAATTATAAGCAATAATCAAATTAAAATTATTGCTTTTCCCATGAGGCTTTCTTTAGACTTTTACTTTTAACACAAGCCACAGTTTTCCTCATAGCCTTCTCCAGTTTCCTTTTACTATTATCTACACTAGTTTTTCATGTTAACAGACTTCCAATAACAAAGATTTTACTTCAGCAATGTGGCATATGCGATACATTTGTGAAAGCTAATGACTAGAGAACTAAACAAATTTAATGAATTTGCCATTGACTGTTAGGTAGCTAGTCAATGTGAGAAATCTGAGAACAAAGAAATGGAGGCCCAGCCTAGAGACCGCCCAAAGAACAAGCCATTGGTAGTTAGAGAACCCTTGCTGCATCCCCAGAGGACAGGAGGGCCATAACCTACAGCTGGTTTAATCCGGCCACAGACACTTGCGCAGAAGGTACTACCCTAACCTGACCACAATTTCAGCCTCATTATACTATCATTTAATACCGTGTTTATGCCTGGAAGTTCGTGAATCTAATTATAACAGACTGAATTCTGGGTAAGCGTATGCACACTAGGCAAAGAGTTATATAGCAGACAAGTGTCAATCAAGATTAATGACCTCACATGCCATTCACTTAGAAATGCCTTTGTAACCACCCACCATGGCCCAGATATAATATAGACCTTCCTACTTATGCAACGTGAAATAAGCCAGTCAGAAAAATTTGAAAACCACATGAAATCACTTCTTATACGTGGGATATAAACCTAAAAGCAAAATCAGACAGGACAAACAGAGACTTATGGACATGGACAATAGACTAGTGGTTACCAGAGGGTAGCGGGTAGGGGGTAAGGGGTAGGTCTATGGGGTAGAGGGGGTCAAATATGTGGTGACAGAAATAAATCTAACTCTGGGAGGGGAACACACAATGCAATATATATATGCCTTACTGTTGAATTGTACACCTGAAACTTACTGAATTTCATTAACCAATGTTACCATAATATAAATTTAAAAAATGATAAATAAAATATAACTTTAATCTTTTTCCCAGTCTTGCTGACCTGTGATTCTTTGCTGTGTCAGCGGGAAAGAACTGAGGAAAAATACTAATTGCACTTTTGCGACGTTATCAGCCCTGCTGCACAAGGAAAAGTATACCCGAGGCGGCTTTTAGGCCCATCTTCCCTTGGCAGAAGAGGCAAATAAAGTACAGATCCTGGGTACTAGTGCCTAGCAAACTGCAGAGGGTACCATGCTATTTTCACTTGGCGAGCGCTTAGAAGTGAGTCACTTGCGTTCCCCAGCCTCTGGAGAAAATGAGAGGTGAGAGGAGAGATCATACAGCTTCCAGCAGAGAGCTGGAGCCTATGGTACTTACTGGAAAATCTGAATCCAAGTCACCAGCACCAAAATCTGTTACCATTTGTGGATGATTTGAACTCCAGTGCTGCCCCAGTAGTATGATGGGTTGGGGGAAACTTCGCAGAAGTGCAATTAGTATTTTTTCTTGGTTCATCCCCACTAACACAGCAAAGAATCACAGGCCAGCGAGATTTGGAAAAAAATTTACTAATGGTGTATTTTAGAAGGAGATGGGCCATGCTAAGGAAGGCTGCAGCCCTGTAGAATTTGGGAGGTGAAAAGGTAAAAGAAATAAAGGACAGAGTACGCCCCCAGGGAGGGGCGGGTTTCCAGCCAAGAGAGCTGTAACAACCCAGTAGTGGGAAGGTCTATATTATATCTGGGCCATGGTGGGTGGTTACAAAGGCATTCCTAAGTGAATGGCATGTGAGGTTATTAATCTTAATTGACACTTGTCTGCTATATAACTCTTTGCCTAGTGTGCATACACTTACCCAGAATTCAGTCTGTTATAATTAGATTCATGAACTTCCAGGCATAAACACGGTATTAAATGATAGTATAATGAGGCTGAAGTTGTGGTCAGGTTAGGGTAGTACCTTCTGCCCAAGTGTCTGTGGCCGGATTAAACCAGCTGTAGGTTATGGCCCTCCTGTCCTCTGGGGATGCAGGAGGGGTTCTCTAATTACCAATAGTTTGTTCTTTGGGCGGTCTCTAGGCTGAGCCTCCATTCCTTTGTTCCCTTGTCCGACTAGCTACCTAACAAAACTAGAAATAATTCAAGGACTTCACCTGGTCTGATGGGTGGAATAAGTAAAGCCCAGAAGCTGTGGAACTTCACTTTCTAATGCTGCAGCAAATCATTCATTCATCAAACATTTACTGAGTACCCCCCATACCAGGCACTACACAAGGTATTAAAGATGCAGGGGATGAACAAGATAGGCATTCTCCTCTTAAAGAATGAGCAGTTGAGATAGGAGGCCACCGATCATTTCAGTGATCGAGCTTAAAGATCAAGAATCAAACCTAGGCTATAAGAATAAGAGGGCCATCAGAGTCAGGAGGTTGATTTAAGGAAGGAATGTGTTCTCGTTACAGGGAAAGGATATTGCATATCAAAATTATTGTGTTCAGATAAGGAATAGCCAGATTTCAAGCTCAGTTATTCTCCATTAATTTTCATGTACAGATGTCATTCATGAGAGATACTGGGACACAAAACAAGGAACAATTACTATAAAAGTTGGGTATATCAAGTCAGGTTCTTAAGAAAAGATGGGATCTGAGTTTGCCTTGAAATATTTGACTTAGGGTGTACAGTTTCCTTCCACAGTTTCCTGGGGAAGGAAACTGTATGACCCAAATTTCTAAAATAGAATCTAACTGCATATGCAAGGTGAGTGATGATGAAAATGAAGGCAAAGATCACTGGCTTTGATTGAGTGCAAGAGAGTTCCATCCTGGGGCTGTGGACCTTCTGAAAATATACAACGATATTTGTGCATCTGTAGTCACATTTTACTTGGGAAAGAGCCTGTGGCTCACATCATTTCAAAACTTAAGAGTCAAACTGTTGAGAATGGTCATTGTCAATTTAGAGATGAAAGAAAAGATGTAAAGGACAATAGATTTATTGAATGCCAATCACTGTACCAAGTAGTCGTGATGTAAAGATGAATAAGACTTGACTTCTGTTCACAAGGAGCTTTATAATCTGGTGGTACGAGAGATGTAAATAAACAATAGTGTGATGTGCTATCATCACAAGGAAATAGGCAGCACAATCATTTGTTCAGGAGTTTGATCAAAAGAAAGTAGCTAAAACTAAGAATTGATCTACCATATGATCCAGCAATCCCTCTACTGGGTATTTACCCCAAAGACTTGAAAACTCATATCCGAAAAGATATTTGTACACCGATGTTCATAGCAGCATTATTCACAGTGGCCAGGACAGGGAAGCAACCAAAGTGTCCTATGATAGATGATTAGATAAAGAAGCTGTGGTACATGTATATAATGGAATATTACTCATCCATAAGAAGAGATGAAATACTGCTGTTTGCAACCACATGGATGGACCTCGAGATAATCATGCTAAGTGAAATAAGCCAGACAGAAAAAGTTGAAAACCACATGTTATCACTTATATATGGGATATGAAACTAAAAGCAACAAACGAACACGACAAACAAACAGAGACTCATAGGCAGCACAATGGTTACCAGAGAGTAGGGGGAAGAGGGGAAGAGAGAGGGAGATAGGGTCAAATATGTGGTGACAGAAAGAAATCTAACTATAGGAGGGGATCACACTGCAATATATATATATGCCTTACTGTTAAATTGTACACCTGAAACTTATTGGATTTCATTAACCAATGTCACCGAAAATAATAATAACTAATAATAATAATAAATTAAAAATAAAGGAACAATGTTTTATCCCCAAAAAATAAATAAGAAAGAAACTATCATGCAAGACAATATTTCTGGGGAGAAATGTGTTAAGCATTGTAATTAGTGGGACACATTTCCTTCTATTATATGAACTTTATATTATGAATGGTGGAAAACAAGCAAAAAATTATTGGAACTGGGTCTCTAAGGAATAAAATTTCAGAATAAAAAGGGTGAAATCTAAAAAGAAAAGAAAGTAGCTAAATAAGAATATAGATGGAAGGGGCAACAGATTCTGGTGAGGATATTTTAGGGATGGATATTGACTATAACATGTTTTGGCAAAAGAGAAGAATTTTCTGTGGGGAGGCATAAGTGCTGGCGTCAGCCCTCGGAAAATATTTTACATATTTAGCTTTAAAAACCAACTTAAAATTTCCATTTATTGTGCCACTGTACAACTGAAATGAAAGAATTTAATAGTGCCTTTTTTGGGATCATATTTACCTATTTTAGCCAGTGAATGTGAGTTCAAGGGAATTATGGGACTGTTTTGTTTTCTTTCCTCCTTCACAAGTAAGAGGAAAGTTTTCCATATCAGCAAAAGTGTAACAAATCCCACCTGTCAGGCTGCACAAAATATGGTCTTAACATTAAGTGAATAACTGTCAGAATAACCATATTCAGATTTCTCTACTTTGGTAGCAAAACTCATCTTAAGCTGTGGTGCTATTGTTATTTAAGACAACCAGTTTATTTTACATTTTGTTAAGTTTTTTCCCCTTTTCTTAAATCTAATGGATGTCTGTTGCAGAAACACGAGCACCAGAGAAGTTTTCAAATCTAAAGTGTCTAAAGTGTAAGCAATAGGCATCCACCCAAGGATTTGTCTATAAATTGGGGCTTGACTCTTCAGTCAGACAAAAAGAGCATAGTGAAAAGGGTATGTGAGCTATTAGAAGAGTTCAAGCCAGATGGTGAATCAGTCAACCAATCATCGAGTCTTCCAGTCACATATGTCCTATGGAGGGGGTTCTGATAATCTCCTAACTAGATCTTCACGAGTTCACGTTTTAAAATCAGAAAGTGCTCAATGCCTGGCTCTACCACTCAGTGACTTCCCATTGCTTGGGAATGGTTCTTAACCTCTCAACCTCATCTATGAATGGGGACATTAATAGTATTCGTCTCATTTGAGTTAGTGCAGAAATTAAATAGATGTAATTTAAATACAAGTCAAACACTCAATGCTGGATTGATTGTAAGCATTCAATAAATATTAGCTATTTTTAAAATTATTTTTCTTTTATCTAGTTCTGTTCCCTTGTTTTTCTTCCATGCATGTGCTCACGTGTCCTTTCCAAACACGTATCTGATGTCATATCATGTTCCTGCTCATACTTTTTCAGTAATTAACACCTATAAGAGGTAATCCAAAGTCCATAGCAGGGCATTAGAGGTCCTTCATTATGTGGCTCCTGTTATCCTTTTCAGCATCTTCTCTCCCGCATCCACTCTGTCTCAGCCTGAACCACATAACACTGTCTTCTCACATGTTATTCTCAATTGACTTGAATAATTTTCCCCTTGGTATCTGAGAAAACTATTCATTTTTCTTGCTCCCGAAGTCTTCACCAATCTTTCCCTTTCTTACCCACCCCTTCCCAAAACAGAATTGTGTGCTCTCTTCTTTCTGTTTTGGTTATGACTGTTACCTAACTCTGTTAGCATTTAGGATATTATTTGTAACTATTTCTATACCTGACTACCCTCTGGCTCAGGAGTTCTTTGTGGGCAGGGACTGTCTACATCACCATGTCCCTAGTGCCTGACAAAAAAAGGTTGTCTTTTTGTGATGGTGGATATATATGTGCTGCAGTCCCACTGCAAAACTAAGGTTTTATAAATAACGAGAATTGTACAGTGTTCATTTTTTCTTTAAATAAATTTGAGATAACTTCACAGATAATTTTTGGTTTTAATTTAAGTCATAAAAAGGGAAATTTGTTGAATTATATATTATCCTAAGTCAATTGTTTTCTTAGTTTTTCATTGTTTTTTAAACATGGTCATTATCACATTATTGCTGAGAATGGTTATTGAGGAGTGCAGTAAATTTCATTTATATCTTGCTGTCTTGAAATTTTCTTTCTAGTTCAGCTCCCTGGGCCTGCACCTAACATCCGAGCATATGCAACTTCACCTACTTCCATCACTGTCACCTGGGAAACACCATTGTCTGGCAATGGGGAAATTCAGAATTACAAATTGTACTACATGGAAAAAGGGACTGATAGAGAACAGGTATAAGAAAAATTTTTTTTCAGTTACAGTTGACATACATTATTATGTTAGTTTCAGGTATTCATTTAGATATATTTATGTACCTAACAAAGTGATTACTCTGATAAGTCCAGCGCCCATCTGACACCACACATAGTTATTACATGAAGTCATTTTTCAATCCATTGATTGGAATAGTAGAGTTGAACTATATTTCCAAAACTCAGTATTTGCTTGTCTCTAGAAATCTGAGGAAGAAAAGAAGTATAGGAGATGAAAAGTTGACAGTCTATTTTTTTGTGCCAAAGTTTATTCTGTAGTTTTTACCAGCAAGGGTCACTAAACATCAAGCAATATTTCTCAATAAATTGCCCATGTTTATCATTAGTCTACTTTGACTGTTAAATAACATTCTGTAAAAGGGATAAAATCTGCATTGTGTCAGATATAGAATTTGTATAGTTAATTCTTTGTAGCATTTCTTGTGTGAGTTGTGTATATATAAGTTGTTTTATTTTATTCAAGGATGTTGACATTTCAAGTCTCTCTCACACCATTAATGGGCTGAAAAAATATACAGAGTATAGTTTCCGAGTGGTGGCCTACAATAAACATGGTCCTGGAGTCTCCACACAAGATGTGGCCGTTCAAACCTTGTCAGATGGTGAGTCTTCCTTTGGAACAAAATACTGTGCTTGGGATCCCTGGTAGCATACTAGTAAGATTATGGGCTTTGATGTCAAGAAGATTCTGTTCAAATCCCTGTACCCTTTTCTCTTCGTGTGACTTTGGACAAGTCACTTAACGTCTCTGAGCAAGTTTCCTTAATGTAAAATGCAGATAATGCCAACTTCATTGGGTTATTATAACTGCTCAATGAGAGAGCATAGCACATAATGGTGACTGGTAATGTGTTTTCCTTTTTAGTAGAGCCTTTTGTGTAAGTAAATAGCATTGCTTATTCATAACACGGACTATTCCAAGGCTGTGGGAAGGCTAGCCTTGCTCTACTTAATCATCTTTGCATGCCAAACAGGTCTTTTTAATAGCTCAGCATTTGGGTGTTTCATGTCTTACCTGTGACTGAATTTCTAAGCTAAATTACATGCATATAGCCAATACCCAGAGCAGTATTTTTCAAACTACAGCTTCCAAAGAGATTGAGTAGGCCAGCATTTAAAAATATATATTTTTAGAATAACAGAGTTCATTGGACTTAGTAAGTGTATATATTATTTCCTGAAACTCAGCCGAATTCAATGTGTTACAAAAATATCTTTTCCTAAAAAATGCCTGTATACGTATATACCCCTTATATATAAAAGGCACACTTTAAAAGCTGTAGTTTGACTCCTTTAAGCAAATGGTCCAGTGTAACATCAGCAACAAGGGAGCAGACTGATATCATGTGTGCCCTAATGTGTTGCACTGGGAAAGACACAATTACCTTATTTCACCTATGTTGTATCCCTGTTAAAATGTTTAACTTGAATCTGATCATAATGAAACAACTAGATGTATCCAGATTGAGGGAAATTCTGCAAATAAACTGGCCTGAATTCTTAAAAATTATTTGTTTCATGAATAAAAAAGTTTAGGGACTTATTCTAGAATCTAGATTAGAGAAGAGTAAAAGACACATGAAATGAGATAAAGCAGGTTTAATCTTTGGTTCCTGGATCTGGGATTAAATAAATAATAATAAAGGACACTTGGTATATTTACTTAATGTCAGGTAGGTATAGTATTAGGCAGTATTAAATATTAGATATGTTTTAGGTATGTCAGGTAATATTTTTGCGTTAAGATTAAATTTTCTGAATGTGATCATTGTATTATAGTTTCATTGGAGACCATCTTTGATCTTAGGAGATACATACTGTAGTATTTAGTAGTGAAGTATTGTGGTGACTGCAGCTATTTCTCAGATTACTCAGAAACTGATACATACTGTAGTATTTAGTAGTGAAGTATTGTGACTGCAGCTATTTCTCAGATTACTCAGAAACAATATGTAGAAATATGTGTGTGTGTGTGTGTGTGTTTGTAAATATAGTAGAAAAATAAAACGTGGCAGAACATTAATAATTGGTGAATTCAAGAAAAGAATATATATGGCATTCATTGTATTCTTGCCACTTTTTTCTGTGTACTTGACATTTTTCAGGATAAAAAGTTCTGAAAAATAAATACAGATTGTAGTTTGGTTAGCCAACTACATAAGCCAACTACATAAGTTGGTCAAGACTTTTGAGAAAAGTTAAGGGAAAAGTAGTTTAACGCAGGCTTTGAAATCTACACATGAGCCAATTTTAACTGCACTAAATGGATTGGCATGCCAACTGTAGTTACTGTCAGGGAACCGAAGGTGTCCGAGTGTGGTAGTTACGGGCAGCACTTGGGTGTAAGGTGAATCTTGGTTCCTGCAGTTAGCCAAAACAAATACTGTAGGCAAGAGATTTGAACCTCATCTACAAAATGGGCTTAATAATGGAAACTCAGCCCTTTGTGGAACTGTTGTAAGGATTGAGTCTCTGCCATGTAGGAGCACACTGCAAATCTTAGCTATGGTGGTGATTATGAAGAAGACAGCAATAGCTATGTTGGATGCCTCTGTAGCTAAGTCAGAGGTTCTTAACAGAGGTGATTGGAACCATTCATATACTTTTTTCAAAGCAAGGTGCCTAAGTCCTACTCCAGACCCTCTGTGCCTGACTGTCTGGGTTGAGGCCTGATGTACTTTGTACAAGATACAACACTGAGCAAGAGATAGTCTCTGTCCTCCAGAAGCCTATAGCATAGTGGGCACTTAGTTATATAGCTGGTCATCAAATGTCAGAGGAAAGGAGAGAGAAGTTTCCGTGGATGGATTAGGAGAGAGCTGCTAAAGTCAGTGATCGGTGAGTGGAGAGGACACTAATCAGGATTACTTAAATTCTCCTTGCTTGCTGTAGTTACTACAGAGCAGGATGCTGGAGGGTGTGTGGACCATAAACTTTGAGATACCCCAGTCTTATGTTCTAATATGTGAGGAACTAAAGTTATGCAGCTGTTTGTTCAAACAATAGTCACAAACTTCTTACATCCTAATGAGTGTTTCCTGCTGTATAGTTGCATTGGGGAGCCATATGGTCACTACTGAGCTGTCATTGCTTAAATATCGCTTTGCTTTACTTGGGAACTGCCTTCATAGTTAGTTTTGGAATTCCATAAGAAAGCCAAGGTCACTGATTTAGGTACATCCCATTTTAGACTTATAATGACATTACTCACTTTATTTACTTGCCATGTTCATTAAACTCGTTTTCAGAAAATTTGCAGCTCTTCCCGCAAAATACAGATATGCTATCACCAAGAATAATCAAAAAAATACATTTAAGGTTCAGAATGTATCTGGGGTCTAGAAAAGTTTAGAGTTACTGTGACTCCATGTTGAGATAAGTGTCTGACTTCTCAAAGGTACAACCTGACTTGGGACTGGTGGATACATGTGAAGGTGTCTCATTTTTTAAAATGAATCAAACATGGCCACACCTTATCTACACACTACTGTCAGCACGAGGGCACTGGCAGCTGCATTTAGACCTCCAGGTTGTATAATCAGTGTTTGAGATGTGCATTTGTGTGAAGTCAGGCCAAGAACAATGACATGGATGATACGTGATGGATGATATGTGGGTGATGGAAAAAACATTTTTTTCTTTTTTCTTTTTTCTTTTTTGCCTGTCTAGTTCCCAGTGCTGCTCCTCAGAATCTGTCCGTAGAAGTAAGAAATTCAAAGGTAAAACTTTATATTGCTGTTGTTCATTTTTACTAATATTAAGTCTCAGAAAGGCTTATAGAGAGAGAGATTCTACATCAAAACAAGCAAGCAGAAAATAAGGTAACCTAGATATTACATTTGCCAGTAAAGCTGGGCTTAGAAACCAAATCCAGTTTATTCTGTTTACTGGCTTTCTCTGATGTCCACATCACTTTAGCCTTTCTGTAAATACTTTCCTATTGTTATGTAAATCATTACCTTCTAGATTTTAATGGTCCAGAACCAGAATGTAGAAGTAAGTTGTTTGTGAGCCATAGCCCCTTCTTCCTGTGAAATGAGGCCAGTGTGAACCTGACAGATGGTTGCAGATGCTGAAAGCATCCCTCCTAATCGAGTTGACTGTACACTAAGGCATGTATGCCCCTCAAAGGCCCAGAGACTTCTGGGTTACACTGAGATTTTCAGTCCTTTCAAAAAGTACTATTATAATCCTTTTCCTTTAAGAAACAACCAGCTGTTCATAAATGATCACCTTTTTGAAGAGTTTTAGACAGAAATTGTCTAATTTCAGTATTTCAGTGGTTCCATAATAGAAATGGAAAGAGAACCTTACACCTAATAATAGTATACTTCTTAATCCATGTGCCTCTGACCTTACATTTTCTTGTGAAAACTTTTTTGAGACTTGCCCAGTGTCTTCATTCTGGCAAAGCACCCAGAAGATCAAGGGTCCAGAGTATATTGCCTGCAAATATAATCTTCCAATGTGATCATTAGGAGTTTTAAAATTAAAAAGTATTTTTGAGTGATTATTAACTTAGTAAAACTCTGAGTACCCTGCACCTTTTTGTTCCTTCTCTTTACACAGTGAATTCCAGATAACAGTACGTAAAACAGTTAGGACCAAGCTTTTCACATATTTGTCTTTTCCTGATAAACTTGTCTTTCCCAGAGCGTAATGATTCACTGGCAGCCACCTCCTCCAGCCACACAAAATGGGCAGATTACTGGCTACAGAATTCGCTACCGAAAGGCCTCCCGAAAGAGTGACGTTACTGAGACCTTTGTAAATGGGGAACAGCTGTCTCAGCTGATTGAAGGTAAACTGCTTTACATACAGGCAAAAGCTAGGTGATGGTGTCTGTCTCAGACATTGAGTTAATGCTAGTCTAAATGACTGCTCTGAGCTGTTGACTTATGCAAAGTAAAAATGATTCAAAAGAATTTGTAATGGTTCAGTCTACTTATGACTTGATAAAAATTAATGGAAAACACTCTTACAGGTTCTCCCATCTCTGAGTGGTGAGATTGTATCTGAATATTATTTCCTTATTATTTCCTTGTGTTTTTCTGTATTCTCCATGTTTTCTTTTTTGAACATATGTATTACTTTTTTATAATCTGAAAAAAAGGATAAAAAGTTATATAAGCAAAGCTTGTTGGTAGCAGAGTCTGTAAAATTATTTTTGTAATGCTGATACACCTCGTGTATATGTGGCCTGAAACAACATTTGCAAATCACTATAGCAATGCAATAATCATTCTTGCTACTTATGGACACAATAACGCTTTAGAAAATTCTGTCAAGGATAGCTCCTTATGTATGGTTTTTTTCTTCATGTGCAACAGAGCAAGTGGCATACCTTGTGAAAATGGATCCTAATCTCTAACTTGGAGTCCCCCTATAGATGACAGAGTATCCCCCTCTTCCTTCCTCAAATAGGGGAAGTACAGTTGGCTTAGAAGGAGAAAATCGCTTTTCAGGAGAACCGTGGGAGGAAGATGAAGTACTTTTTGCCCTTTGGATATTGGAACTGTGCCTACAAAGAATAGAGACAGATGCCCCTCAGAAACCCTATTGGGGTTTCCTAGCAGAGCTGGTAGAGGAGAACTAAAATTTGAGAGAGCCACTGACAGTGAAACCACTGTACTCTAGTAATCCCGCAAGCTTTTCTCCTAACTCCTCACCTCATAGATAGGATTTGCTTCTTCCAAAATAGGAGAAGGTGAATGTTTGTCTCCAAGGGTAGCATCAGTCTTCTGGTTTCTTCACATGAACCCTGCAGCTGTCAGCTGTAGTGAGTAAATGGCTGCCATGGGTGTTGCTGAGAAATCTCACTAAAGGAGCATTATAATAAAATTGCCCACAGGTATACTTAAAAGTCAGTTTCTGATTTTACTCCAACTAAATAACATTTCTCACCCATAGGCTTTTATTTTGAATATTTAATAGTAGATATTTACTGTATTTAAGGCACTGTTTTTGTTGCTAATAACATCAAAATAAAATATAGTCCTTGCACATGAGGAGACTATTCATTTTCTCAATGAAACATTTGCTATATAAGGAAAATACCATGTGCCTGGTAAAAATAGCTTTTTCTTTATCAAGAAAATTCTTACATTTTAAAGTCATATTTAGTTTCATTAGTTTAGCAGACTTTATTGAACTTTATTAGTATGTGCTGGCACTTGGTATATATATATAATGGTGGGCGAAAATGGAGATTTTGCTCTCGAAGTATTACTTTGAAGCTTGATAAGTATTAGAGAATAATATGGATTACCAGGATCCCCTACTAAACAACAATTATATGATTTAAGTTTTCGCTAGAAGTAATTGTTGTTTCTTCCTTTTGTACCAGTTATATAGCACTTAACACATTCTCCCATATCCTTATAATGTTAATTGCGCGCCTTAGTTTTAGTGTATGAACTGTAGTTTACTTCAGGAGGAACTCTAAGCCTCTTTACACATGGGTCTCTCACTTGCATGTGCTTGTGTTTCCCTCTCACTTGCTCTTAACGTTTTAACTCTCCCCAAAGGGGCGGGAATGATAATCTTGCAGACCCTCAATTGAGCCATGTTTGCTATTAGTCCAGATTGCTGTCCTTTAACAGTTATAAACACATGGACAGTCCACTCTGGCTCTTTCTGGTTCAGTATATGCAGGGAGGAGACAGGCAGGTAAACTGACGTGGGCCTAGCCATTCTGTTTCTCCTTCTGTCTTGCTTATTGCTTTCTTGTGGGGAAACAGGTTCAGGATAGGACTGCAGAGAGCAGAACCTCCCATCTGTCTTCTTACACCATGTAACAGGATTAACTGACCAGAGGTCATTCTGACCAAGTTCTCATTAGCTCTCTCTTTGGAATTTCTGTACTATATTGCTCGCCAAAGATTCCAATATTTGGATATGGGGAGGAGGATAATTTTTCATCACCCTAATAAGACCTATCACAATATCTAGTATTTTAAGCACTCTAAAAATGTATGCATGTGAACTGTACACTTAAAAATGCTTAAAATGGGAAATTTATGTGTCTTTTAACAATAAAAAAAAGAAAAATTGGATTTATGAGTATATGACTAGCTGACCATATTATTGACCATTGCCCTACTTTTCGGGGTAAACGTTTACATGTGAATCTCTGTTGCCTTTGATACGTTAATAACTCCTGTACTGTATTTACGGATAGTAAATGTGAAAGGTTATGTAATAGGCTTTATCCCACTTTTACTTTATATATATATATACACACACATATGTCTATATATATATATATACACACACACATATATATAGACATATAGGCTATTGAGAAATAGATTTCTAGGCCATGTTTGGTGTTTAAAGTGTTTAAAGTGGTTATGGCATGGCTCAGAGAACAGAGGTAATATGGTAGGAGTTATATCTTTGCATTTTTTCCTGGTCTTTGGTGTTTTCTGAGACCAACTGACTTTGTTCCTTTGTTATATAAACTCTTTCGTTAACCATGGCCTCTTTTTGGCCTTAGTTTCCTGAGTAACAAAATGAAGGGATTGTATTAAATGATCTCTAAGCTGCCTTCAAACTTAAAAAAAAAAAAAATCTGAAATCTAGGAGTTTTGCTCATTTTTGTTTTCTTCTTGGATCATGTGGGCTTCAGCCTCTACTTTAGATGTGAGAGCTCCTCTGTGCCATGCCATATTTATGTATCGCTTATTTGGTATTAACTTTACCTAAAACTTTATCAAGATAGTAGCTATATACTGAGTTGGTAGATATTTACTTTAATGAGAGACTATTAATCTTTCATTTTTTCAAAGCTCTTGTTTCAGCCTTTTTTTTTTTTTTTTTGTCTGTCGTTTGGATCTCAGGTCTGGATCGGGGGACCGAATATAATTTTCGAGTGGCTGCTCTAACAGTCAATGGCACAGGCCCGGCCACTGACTGGCTGTCTGCTGAAACTTTTGAAAGTGACTTAGATGGTAAGAACAATAATTGGCAGGGTTGGCACAGGCTAGGTACTAACTGTAGTCAGGTGAGTTGAACTGGGAAGCCACAGACTGGGGTGCACATGGCTTAAATCCATGAACTTTCGTGTCTTATACTGCTGTCATTCCTGTAATGCGGCAAGTTTCCTGTGGTTTTTTTTGTTTTTGTTTTGTTGTTGTTTTGCGATGACTGTTAGAGAACTGTCGCTTTAAGCAGAACCAGAACCAATAAAAATGTACAGGTGCTTTATGTCTTTTTTTTACCAAGGCCATTAAGAAGATGGATGATCTGAAATTTAAGGTCGAGCCACATGAATCGTGCCTTTATTTTAGTTATGGTTTCCCTTTTCCTTTAGTTCTGGACACCTTGCCCTTTTGCTCACCTGTTTATTCAGTGAGTAACTCCATATGGGTGTGTATATATACCTTTATCAGAGACAAGTGCTGCACTTGGGAGACAAAAGACCCTGGGTACTTTTTCTAATTCTTGGTTTACTAATTTCTGAATTAAGGTAGTAATTTATGCCTTGAAATATGTTTGAAAGATACTGTAAATTGCCATCTTTAAAAAGATGGCATCTTTTAAAAGAGGCTTAAAAGCCTCTTTATTTAAATCCATTTGTGGTTCTAAAGTTTCATATTTTCTGACTTATCATATTACTTAGGGGAGTAAATAATTGATACCACATGGTGTAACATGATACTTGATTACCTGTTGACAACAGGCTTCTAATTAATCGGTGTTCTGCCTTTCTCCTTTCACCGGGTATGTTTGGGAATCAGGTGTGGGATCAAGAGGAATGGGTAACTATTGAAAGGCAATTTATTTGTTTTTCTCCTTTGGGCAGAGGTTCTTGGATCTCTTTGTCTTCTCTTCCAAATTAATATTGCAATATCTTATGTTTCAGGCCATTTGGTTTTTGTTTTCCTCTTAGAATGCATTAAAACCATGGGCCATACAGGTTCTCTTTGAATTCTTAAACATAATGGAAAAAACAGCATTTGGCATGAGACTGCACACCATTCCCCAAGGATGGTGAAATATTCTAAAGGAAGATGGAGCTCATCTTGCTTTTCTCCTTTCTTTCTCAGAAACTCGTGTTCCTGAAGTGCCTAGTTCTCTGCATGTCCGCCCGCTTGTCACTAGCATCGTAGTAAGCTGGACTCCTCCAGAGAACCAGAACATTGTGGTGAGAGGCTATGCCATTGGATATGGCATTGGCAGCCCACATGCCCAGACTATCAAAGTAGACTATAAACAGCGCTATTACACCATCGACAATCTGGGTATGTGTGCCGAGTTGAGGAAGTAATTGCACATGTGATTTCTTTCTTTTTGTCTTTTTATTGTGTAATAATTTTATTTTTATAGAAAACTTTCAAAAATGGTACAAAGAATTCCTGTATATCCTTCATTCAGATTCCCCAAAGTTAACCTTCACATGTTAACATTTTACATGTGCTTTATCATTCCTGTTTTCCTATATGTACATATTTTTTCTTTGAACCATTTGGACATGATGCCTCTCTATCCACTGATACTGTAATGTGCATGTCCTAAAAACGAAGACATTTTCTAACATAACCACAGTGCAATTATCAAAGTTAGCAATTTAACACTGAAACGATATCTGTAGACTTTATTCATATTTTACTAGTTGTCTCATTGATGTCCCTTATGATAGAAGAAAAACATTTTCCAGGATTATGTTGCATTTTGTTATCATGTCACATTAGTTTTCTTTGATATGGAACAGTTCTTTGGTTTTTTTTCTTGACTTTAATGACTATGACATTTTTGAAAATTATAGATCATTTATATTTTGTAGAATGTCTCTCAGTTTAGAGTTGTCTAATATTTCCTCATACATTCAGCTTATGCCCTTTAGGAAAGAATAGCATAGACGCATTGTGTTCTCGTCAGTGCATCACATTAGGAGGCGCAGGTGAGCCTGTCACTAGTGATGTTAACTTTAATCATTTGCTTAAAATGATATCTGCCATATTTCTCTACTATGAAGTTATTATTTTCTTTATAACTAATATGTACCTTGTGGGGGAGATACTGTGAGTCTTTGTAAATATTTTGTTTTTTATCCAACTTTCACTTACTAGTTTTAGCATCTTAAGTTATTACTGTGATGTTTCACAAATGGTGATTTTCTAATTCTATTACGTCTTCTACATTTATTAGCATTTTTTAATAAGGGAGAGCTTTCCTTCTTTTTCATAGTAGAATGGCCAGTGGCTTTATAATTGGCTCCTCTGTCCATTTGACATCTCCCATCTTTCTTTGAGCACTTTCTTCCTTTTTGACACAGTAAGATGTTTCAGGCTCATCTCAGATTTCCTAGCCTTAGTCCTTGAATCATCTATTTCCCAATGAATCCTGGTTTCTTTTGTGGGAAATGGTAATTAGAAACCAATGTCTGAGTACTTTACTGGCTCATTGTTACTGGTGTAGAAAATCCTGAGGAATCTACAAGAAAGGCTACTAAAACTGTTAAGTGAAGTTAGCAAGGTCAAAAAATAGAAGGTTGATGTAAAGAATAGTTGTATTCTCATATAACAATAAGTTGGAAATTGGTATTAAAATAAGTTTCATTTACAATAGCATCAAAAAATATGAAATACTTAGGAATAAAGTTTAAAAATATGTGCAGGGTCTATGCACTGAAAACTAGAAAATTATTGTTGAGAGAAATTAAAGAAGACAAATAAATGGAGAGACCATGTTCATGGATTGGGAGATAGTACTATTAAAATGATAGTTCTCCCCAATGCAATCCCAAGTAAAATTCCAGTAGACTTTTTTGTAGAAATTGATAAACTTACTCTAAAATTTATATGAAAGATCAGAGGAACTAGAATAGTCAAATATTTTTGAAAAAGAATGAAGTTTAGAAGACCCATACTACTTGATTTCAGGGCTTCTTATGAAGCCACAATAATTGAAACATTGTGGTAGTATTGGTATAAAGGTAGGTGATTAATGGAACAGAATAGAGTCCAGAAATAGATCCATTTGTATATGGTCAATTGATTTTTGACAAAAATACTGAGACAATTTAGTGGAAGGATATAGTCTTTTCAACAAAAGGTGTAGGAATCATTGGATATCTGTTCGAGGAAGAAAAAGAACCTTCCCTGACCCTTATTTTACACTGTGCACAAAACCAGATGTAAACTCAAGAGCTAAAATTATAAAACTTCTAGAAGAAAACAGGAAGAAATCTTTATGTCCTTGGGGTCAGCAAGGATCTCTTAGGATGCAAAAGAGCACAAATTATAACATTTTAAAAATTAATAAATTTGATGTCATCAAAGTTTAAAACTTCCACTTTCGAAAAGACACCAGTAAAATGAAAAGGCGAGCCATGGACTAGGAGAAAATACTCATCATTCAAATATCTGATGAAAAATTTGAGTCCAGAATATATAAAAACCCTTACAACTCATTAAGAAGATGACAGTTCATTAAAAAAGGTAGGCAAAAGATTTGAATGGACAGTGTACCAGAGAAGATACATAAGAAGACAATAAGCATGTGAAAAGATTCTCCACATCATTAATCATCAGAGAAATGCAAATAAAACCACAGTGAAATACGACTACACTTCCTATAGAACTGATAAAATTTAATAGACTGATACTCCCAGATATCAGCAAGGATGCAGAACTGGAACTCTTGCTTCAACCACTACTGAAGTACAACCACTTTAGAAAACAGTTTGGAGATTTCTTAAAAAGTTGATCACACCCAATGTTTCCACTCAGATATTTAACCAAGAGACAGAAAAACGTATATACACAAAGACTTGTTCATAATAGCTTTATTTATAATAGTCTAAAAGAGGTAAACAGGTAAATGGTAAATTGTACTATATCCATACAATAGAGTACTACTCAGCAATGAAAAGGAATAGGCTGTAGATACACACAATGAATCTAACGAATTATGCTGAGCAAAAGAAGCTAAACATAAAAAGTACATGTGTTGTTTTTATGAAATTACAGAATAGGCAGCACTAATCTATAGCGACAAAGAAAGATCAGTGGTTGCCAAGAAACAAGGATGATGGGAATTGACTGCAAGGGGCACAAGGGAACTATTTGGAGTATTAGAAATATTCTATATATTGATTGTGGTAGTGATTACACAGGTATATATATTTCTCAAAATTCAACAAACTGTACACTTAATGGGCATATTTTACTATATTCTAATTAAATCCCAGAGTTGATTTACAAAGCAAAAAAAAATGATAATATTTTATAATAGAAAATGAATTAATTTTGTTAGGTGTAATACTTTTTCCAAATTGGATTATCATTATAGAGATCTTTCTAAGACTTATCTTTTAATTCAGAATCTGCCTTGGACCAACTTTTTAATTCAATCATTCCTTTGTAAATATCTTTCTTAACAACTTTAGGTGCCTAGCAAATGAATTACCTTTAGCTTTTCTGGTAGAAAATAAGCAGCAATTTCATGCTTCAAAAACGAAGTAGCCGTTCTCTTTCCTTTCAAGAAGAAACAGCACAGGTACTTAGGACATGTTCCCCACATGAACATTCTTATAAGGCAGTTGTGAGAGAGCAAAAGAAGAGCTTTGTTGGTAGGATAAAAATATCTCTGTGCTGACCCACTGCCTACTGTTTCTTTTATGAAACTACTGAAAGGAGAATCCTTGCAGTGTAGCAGTACATGGTCCTTGACCGTCAGGTGCTTTCAGTCTAGTAGAACAAAAGTAGTATACAAGAACCAATGGAATGAGATGAAGTGAAGTGTGGTTGGAGAAGGGAGAGCTAGTAAGGCACTCTAGAGCAGTCTAGGAGAACCTTAACCTGAACTTGAAAAGACTGAGTCAGAATAGCATTTGAAAACAAGAGATGAGAAGGAGCACTTCATGTGTGAAGAGAGTAAACAGATCACAGTGAGAAGTAGTAAAAAAAAATTTAATTCTGCATGAAGTAAAATGAGCTTGAGCTATATCAGTCAATACATATATTTAAGATGTATATAATGTTGAACAAAATAAGAAAGTCAGAATGGAGAAATACATTTAGGAATTCATTTATTAATCAAATTAGAGCTCTCCCCTGAGCTTCAGATCCATATAAACATCTGTTTACTAAATATCTGCACTGTGATATAGCCCATATTCTATCATAATTTAATCAAAATTAAAGTTAGTATCTTCTGCAAACCTTTCGATCAGTCAGCAAATATTTAATGAACACCTACAGTATCTCACACTATGCTAGAGGTTCAGTAGAGAATCAACCAGACATGAGCCCAATTATTAGAAATAATACAATTTTGAAATAATTAAAATCGTTTAGGGTGCTGAGGAAGAGAAGTGGGGTACTACAGGCTGTGTAACTAGAGAGGCTAATCCAGTCTTGGATGAGCCCTTTAAGATGAATAGGCATTATCTCAGTAAAGAAGAAGGGTACCTGTTTCCCCAGCCTGGGAAACAGCTGCAGATGTTAAGGCCCATGGTTAGGAGGTGCATAGTGCTTCAGTGAACCAAGAGATGGCTGGTAGAGATGGAGTGTAGAAAACAGGGTAGAGAGGTGAGAGGCAACAAGACTTGAATCAATAAGATTCATTCGCATATAGGCAGGGAAGGAGAGAGAGGTCTTAGTAACTCCCAGGCTTCTGACTTGAGTAGCAGAGCACATAATAGTGCCATTTGTGAACTAGGGAACACTGGGGCACATCTGAAGTGGGGAGAGAGAGATTTGAGACATCCAAGTGAAGATGCCAGACAGTTGAACATGGAGGTTCAGTGCTCAAAAGAAAGGTCTGGACTAGAGATATGTATTTGCGTTTGACGGCACATATGTGCTAATCCAACTAAGGAAATGGGTGCAAGCACATAAGAAGAGTGAAAAGTGGGAATAGAAGGGGTTTTGAAAATGTGTCATGGTCGCTTTGCGTCTGTCCCTAGTCTCAGTGAATGACCTTACTATCTACCATGTTGCCCAAACCAGCACCTTTTCACTTTTCCTCACCAGTAAAATACTGTCTTATTGATTCCATTTGTTGTTAATTCTGACATTGAAAGACCAGGTGCCTTTATATATTGTCCATTAGTATCTAAAGAATGAGCCACCTAGGAAAGCAGCTATTTTAAGCTTTTGAAGCAATGTGGGCCACTTGAAGTATGGCCACTTTGGAAAACTGCCCAACTTTGCCAGAAGTGAGTGGTATGGATCAGCTCCCCTCCTTGCAACACTTTAATGGAGCTCACATCTTCATTTCTGACTCTGGACTTTTGAAGTACCCATCCTGAATTTTGCCTGGGTCAGAAATGTGATGAAATAGAATCTTTCTGATTTACCTCAGCCAATGGAAGAATGGATGCTATTCCAACTTAATAATAGCCACTCTTTATCGAGTCTAAAAAGCAACATGGAGAGAGTATTTCTTTTCAACTTACATTTCCTGCAGCATCACTGCCAAGCCAGTTATAATCCTGGGCCATATCTGATCCAACTGAGAAGTCTACATGAGGGATAGATGAGGTTTGGCAGTTCCTGGATTTGGAGGCCCCCTAGAGAGTTAGGGACATTCAGCAGTTACTAAGCTAACAGTTTATCTCCTACTTCTCTACCTTGGCTGTTCTAATTGCTGCCCTCCTTCTGAAAAGTAAATGGGTTTGTTTAATTCTAAGCTCCACCTATGGGCTTTTAACACAAGAAAAATCCTATTTACTTATTCTAATCCAAGATGTGCACTATACAATAACATCAGTAAACCATCAACTAGTTGAGGCCAAGAGTGGATTCAAGCAAGATCAGCCTCATTCCTGGGACTAACTCCAGGAAGTTGATTCTGGACAGTTTTCTATACAGTAGTCACCCCTCCCCAACATCCAAGGCTTCACTTTCCACAGTTTCAGTTACTCATGGACAACCAAGGTCTAAAAGTAGTAAATGGAGAATTCCAGAAATTAACAATTCATAAATTTTAAATTTCTTACTGTTCTGAGTAGTGTAATGAAATCACACCATCCCACTCTGTTCCTCCTGCCTGGGATTAGAATCATCTCTTTTCCAGCATGTCCATGCTATATATGCTACCTGCCCATTAGTCACTTAGTAGCCATCTCAGTTATTAGATCGCTTATCAGAGAGAGAGAGAGAGATTACATTCATGTAACTTGTAATACGTTATATTGTTAGGATCTATTTTTTATTGTTTTCGATCTGCTACTGTGCCTAATTTATAAACTAAACTTTATCATAGTTATGTATGTATAGTAGAAACCATAGTCTGTATAGGGTTCGGTACCGTGTGTGGTTTCATTTTCTGGGAGTCTTGGAACATATCCCCTGTGGATAAGAGGAGACTACTATACTGTGTATGCTGATATCTCACATCTCCTTGCACCCCATAATAATCCCACATGTAAGTTTTTTAAATCTTTCCTTCTGATTTCCCCTGCAATTAAGATCATGCAGATCCCTTTGAATTTTAAAATTCTGTAGTGAGATTTATTTTTAAGTGTTTTGACTTGTTTCTTTCCGTCAGATCCCAGTTCTCACTATGTGATTACCTTGAAAGCGTTTAACAACGTGGGTGAAGGCATCCCCCTGTATGAGAGTGCTGTGACCAGACCTCACACAGGTAAGATATCCTGCCCATCTCTGGTCTTCAGCATTTTTTCCAGCAGCTTAAGTAGAATGTTGGCATGAGGCCTGCCCCCTGGGTATCACTGGAAGGAAAAGTATATAGCAATTTAGGGTACAAGCTTTAAATAGGAAAATGGACTTTCAGCATGGAAGGTTCTATTAATTCCGGATTCACTTTTTAGAAAATATTAACAATCCTGTCATGTAAACAATTCTATGGAGGAATTATATAGATTACTGATGGTAGCAATAAATATACATGATTGGTGAATCCAGTATTTTCTTTGCTAGTCACCTGAGTTGGTTAAGAAAGTATTTTTTCCAGATGCTTTTCATAAGCTTTATGTAAAGAGTATAAAGTCATATGTACTATCCATGTACTAATTGTGTATTTATTATAAAAGACTAAATATTCATTATTTTTTCTTTGTAGTTTATTTAAAATATCTTTAAATGATTATATATATAATGTAAAATTTCTATAAATATATAGAACATCTAATTTACATCTGAATGGGAAAGTTTATTGAAGTAAATAGAGTTGTAAATTTTTCTATGGGTACTGAAAAATCAAAGAATTTATCATTTTCACAAATGCTCTTTTCCATTTGTTTCCCAGAATTGTTACTCTGTATTGCCTGCTATGTCTGCTGGATACTTTGCATGATATTATAGATTTGGCATTCTTTTTAAAAAGATAATCTCTGTCCCTTTTTTTAATGCTTTTACTTAACAAGACCATCATTACTAAATGTTCGGTAGTTCTATCTTCTGCTCCTATGTACTTAAAATTTCTAAGTTCTTTTAAAAATAATTTTGGTATTCCATAAAGGAAAAAAAGCAAGATGAAAACAATATTTAAATAAGTTGTTTGTTACTTTCTTAAGTCAGCCTACAATAGAAAAAAACATCTGAAATCTTTTCATGTGACTTAAAAATATAGCTTTCTTGCTAGCAATACACAAGGAAATGTTCCTAACTCATGTAACCTATTTTTTTCTCAAAAGTTGTTACAAATAAAAAATTTTTCATAAAGAACTCTAATGATTTTTGCACCTGAAGATGTTTTCTGTAACTAAGTGAAATATGTCCTGATCTTTGAACAAAGCCCTTGATTATTATGTATGCTGTTCCTCTGTTATTTTAAGTCCTCATTGTGTAGGAAATACACAGATGGAGACTATGACTTTAGATCGGCAGTTATTCATACACAAGGCCCGTGCCTTTTCAGATTTTGAGTTATAGGAAGGGCTGGTCACCGTAACCATGTGGGAGACCCATTTTAAAACCTTAACTTAAAATAAACAAATGTGTGTATACTTAGAAATCCTGACCAAGAGTTGGGAAAGCCCAGATGGATCCTGCTATATTGCTGTGGGCTCATGGTCCTTGCTGCCTTTGTGCTCATTGTGGCCTCTCTTTTGATGAGAATGTGTCTGGTGCATATGGCATAGGTCAGCACATGAGTATAGACTTTTCTTTTTATCAGGTAAGTATTCTGATTTCTAAAGTTCATAGAGACTTTGTCACTTGCGCCCGTAACTGTGGCATTTCCCATAACTTATTGGGATTTATTAATGGGTTGTTCTCTGACTCTACTGGAGAAAGTGTAACAGGACAGCAGCAGATCTGAACTGGGCCCTGTGTGGGTGTCAGATACCCTCAATACCAAGGCCAGGCTAAGTTGCCATTGGCTAACATTCAGGGCCCAACTTGAGAGTAGGACCCTTACATGTCCGATGATTTGCATTGATAAGCCGGGTCGCAGAAACTCAGCCACAGACACTGAAATATCAAAACAGATCATGAGCTTTGTGTTGCTCGTTCAGAAATTACAGCCTTGATTTTAAAAGCAATTTGTATCTTTTTGTGATCTTTTCTGGACAGGAAGTAGAATTTTCAAGTAATTTAAGAAATTTCAAGTATTAATATATTAATGTAATCACTAGGTTATCAAATTTTAATCAAATTACAGAATACATTAGAGAATATAGTTAATTACTGTTTCTCTAGATGTTCTCTGAAAGAACACAAGTGGAAATATTCTTTCAAATGAATAGTGGTTGTCTATTAACTCTGGATTCTCTTTCTCTTTCTTTATTTTTCACCTTTCATTCCATTGTATTATTCCACACTTCCCTTTTCTTTTATTTTTGTTTATGTTAAAATGCCACTTCCTTTTTAATTACTTTTTACCCAGACACTTCTGAAGTTGATTTATTTGTTATTAATGCTCCATACACTCCAGTGCCAGATCCCACTCCCATGATGCCACCAGTGGGAGTCCAGGCTTCCATTCTGAGTCATGACACCATAAGGATTACATGGGCAGACAACTCACTGCCCAAACACCAGAAGATTACAGACTCCCGGTACTACACAGTCCGATGGAAAACCAACATCCCAGCAAACACCAAGTACAAGGTACTAGCACATGTGATCTGCGCAAGAAAAGCTAATGATTGATATTTTCTAAATCTAAAGTTCTTGATTCATATGTTTCCAGAATGCAAATGCAACGACTTTGAGTTATTTGGTGACTGGTTTAAAACCAAATACACTCTATGAATTCTCTGTGATGGTGACTAAAGGTCGAAGATCAAGTACATGGAGTATGACAGCCCATGGGACCACCTTTGAATTAGGTATGTGTTGTCAGAACTTTATGTCACGTGGCATTTCTTCTCTTTGCAAGACATGAAAGCCAGTGGAAGTTCATGTCTTTGTTGTGCCACATTCCAAGTCGTGAGACTCCTCATCACCTGCTTTTACTAACCAAGGAAAGAACTGAGGGCATAAATCGGCATATTCACTGAACACAGTGAGCAACTACAGTTGGAGTTCAGTGTTTGCTTTTTCAGCTGTTGAATTATGTTTTTTTCATCATTTATATTTGCAAATAACAAAAATATTTGCAAATAACAGGATAATTTAATACAAAGTATACTAGATTTTAGGAATCAAGAGACTTGAGTTCAATCCCAGGACAGCCATCTACTGACTGTGTGATCATAAGCAAGTCATCTAACCTCTAAATCTGTTTTCTCCATCTAAAGAAGAGGGGTAGTAATCTCTGCTTTTCCTACTTTGTAGGATTATTGTAAGGGTAAAATGAGGAGCAGATGGGAAAGCACATGGTAAATTATAAAGCACTGTGTAGATGTATGAGATTATTTTCATTAATCCTGCTTAACTAGTAAATCGAGATGGAGAAGATGAAGTGACCTGCCCTTCACCAGGCAGCTACAATGCCACGCTTGCTAGAGCCTCAGCACTTTCCTAGCAGCTTTCATGCAGACCAGTTAGTTAATGTCTTGTAAAATATCCCACTGGAGTAGCTTACGGTTTCTGTCTGTAAGTAAACATGAAAGAGAAAAGACCACTGAGCAAATTAAGCAGGCCATCCAGGTTTGGGATTCTGTTTTCTTTTGCTCACTTGTAGCCTACCCTTCTACCCCTTCTACTTTCCCAGCTTGGGGATATATATAGCCATTGGGAGTCTCTATCTATTCCAGCCTCTTGTTTTTTTCTCTCCTGCATATAAATAATGAAAAATGGAACTATTAAGTCTCCCTAGATGGCTTGGCCCTAATGTGTTTTTGTCTTCTGAGCAGTTGGTTGGACTTCCTACAGAGAAAAGGGGTTGGATTTAGAGATCTAGAAATACAGTGCAAAGAAGCTTCAATAGACCTTGAGTTTGCCTTCTTTGCCAGTTTTAATATCTTTTTGCTTTAATTCCAACCCATTAGCTAATAAGTGATATTGTGTATTCCCTTAGAATATTTGCATTTCACTAGGCTTCCTTCCATTTTATATTAGGAGAATTCCAGTATTTTAGGAAGAGAAGAATAAATTTAAGGACTAACTTAATTTGCTCATTTTCCTACTAGTACAGTAAAAGTTTTCAGTAATAACATGGAATAAGAAGTGTAATCATTTTTTTAATTGTTTTTTCTGTTGCATAAGTAGCTTTACACTTCAGAGCAGTAACCTCAAATAGTTGACAATGTGTTTTCAGTACAAACTTAAAATACATCAGTTTATAAATCATGTGTTCTTTGAAGGAATCGAGGGTTTTCAGACATCATATTTAATTTAGAGAGGCAACTATAGGTGTGAGAGAAAAATGATTTTACATTTAAAAGTATCCTAACAAAAAAATACAAATTAGAAGGGAATGTCATCTTGGGAAAATTACATAACATTTTCAGTGTCCTGATCTTTCAAGCAGGGATAGTGGTAACTACCTTTCAAGTTGCCATAAATATTAAGAGAAATGTTATTTGTAAAATATATAGTAGGTACTTGGTAACCTCTAATGTCTTTTGATTTCCCTACCTATCCTATATATCCCTGAACCCCAGCCAAATGCCAGTTCTGTTTCCTCATAGTATGGTATTCTCTTTTTGATATTTTGCATATTTTTCTTTTTATTAGAACTAGTTATAGACAGACTGTGAGTTCTTTAAGTCAGTCATTATCTCTTTTGCCTTGTACCCTTTATTTTGCCTTATAAATGGAAAAAGTTGAGAAAATGGTAAATGAAATTGAAATGACAGGAATTATTGAAAGTATTGCTATTTTGTAGTTCCTACTTCTCCACCCAAGGATGTGACAGTTGTGAGTAAAGAAGGAAAACCTAGGACCATAATTGTAAATTGGCAGCCTCCCTCTGAAGCCAATGGCAAAATTACAGGTAAGATGCCTTTAAATGTGTGTCTGTTCCCTATTCCTGCCTGGCAGAAGCACTCAGGAGAGTTCTGTTTTGTTGGGAGTAGTGGGAGTCTGAGTGCTGGCTGCATCATTTTACGAGGTGCTGTGAGTCATGATGGTCCTTAAAAATGAAGCCAAGGGATGCCCTTTGCCCACAGTGACATAAAAATGAGTCGCCAGCTGGTTGTTTTGACTCACATTGCATGAGAGGCTGATGGACACAGGCTGCACTAGGCAGATAGCCTTTGGTTGTAATGGGACCTCTCTGCCTCTGACTGTATGACTTGCTTTGGGGTTAAAGACCCTGCCTAATTATGCAGGATAGTTCCCAGTAAATAGAGATTCAGATCTTTTACCCTGAAGCCTGAAAGTGTCCATTAGGCTTTTTAATACCCTCCCCTGCCCCACCCGGCCTGCTACTTCAGCTTCCTGTACTTTTACAATTAGAGTTAAGAGTTTGACTTGGCCTAGGCCTTTGAAGAGACCTGGAATATTTCCTCAGACTTCCAGAGAACTGTCCACAGTGGTGACCACTGTGCCTTCCTCAGCCTTATCAAGGAGGAAAGCCTGCTGGGAGTTTGCTGTTGATTATCCCCTTGGAGACTCTGTTCTGAGTAGGTATATGCTGAGGAACAGGAGTCTGCCTTCTGAAGTTCCTTAGTGTGAATAGGGTTACCTAAGGAAACTGGAAGCATTTCTTAGCATTGTTCTGCTTCGGCTTTCAGTAGAAACGCCTTTCCATAAATCCCTGGTCTTTATGTCATGTTTTAGGTTTTTTAACTTGCCTCTTTTATTAAAAAGTGAAGCATGACTTGACTTGGCTTGCATTTTATTTTTTCTTTAAAACCCAGTAATGCAGTGCATTTTTGCACTTTGTGAGTCAGGTAGGCTTATGGTTGTAAGCCTCAGCCATGGAGATTGAGCGCCCTCTGGTGGAGGTATCAGGTGACGTTTCACTGTGACTTCCACCCAAGTCTGGGAGAACTGAAAGGTTGCTGCCCATCTCCCAGTTTTTCTCCTGGGAAATCACATTAGTGAGAGCTAAAACAGCGTGTCAGGTCGTTATTGGTTTTCAAAACAGCATTATTTTAATTGTAGACTCTAGAAGGTACATTATTTAAATATTAAGATGTTGAAGTGATTATTTTTCCTGTATGATTTCTTAGCTTCTAAGAGTACTTAATTCTATATTTTTTATTTTTTATTAGTTTTATTACTTTGACTGGTACTGTGTAAACCACACTGTGGTTTTCTTAATATAATGTTTAGTGTAGCATTTGGAATGCATTTTACCATTGCTGTTTAATCAATAACTGGTTCTCTACTTGTTTGTGCTATAACATATATCGTTATTGACTTACCAATTGCAAAAGAAAAAGCAAGAATAAGATTTCATTTCTCATTAACTGCTTTGGACAGGTTACATCATATATTACAGCACAGATGTGAATGCAGAGATACACGACTGGGTTATTGAGCCTGTTGTGGGAAACAGGCTGACTCACCAGATACAAGAGTTAACACTTGACACTCCATACTACTTCAAAATCCAGGCTCGGAACTCAAAGGGCATGGGGCCCATGTCTGAAGCTGTCCAGTTCAGGACACCTAAAGGTAAGGCTTCTTCAAACAGAGTGTTTTATCATGTGTCTTTTTAGTGGGCCTGTGCTTGCACATATTACTTTAGCGTATAGAGATTATAGATAATATGAGAAGTCCTCATGATGAGCCACAATGTGTACATTTATCTCAAAATGATCCCTCACCTACCACTGACCACCCTAGGTTTCTGGCCTAACCCTATCACATAGAAGGAAACTGACTTCAGACCGTTCAAAGCAGGTGAATTGCAGTGATCTAAAGGTCAAATCAGATGTGAGTCTCTTGGTTCCCAGACAGAGTAATAGCATGTTATTATGATGGATGATTCTCTTTCAACACATGCAGGCTCTTAACCTGAAAGGCTTGTTTTAGACTTTTGTAGAGAGAAAGAGACTAAAAGGGGCCCTTTAAAGAAAACTCTAGATAAGAAAGTGAAGATAATAAAGTATTGAACTAAGTGAGTGTAGGAATGAAATTTAGTCGGAGAACTGAGTCTATGGAAATATAGAAACCATATATGGATTTCTCTTCTGTTAGTACTTTAAAAAAAAAAAAAAAGACAATTGATTTGGAAGTTTGTGGGGGTTTTATTTTTATTTTTTCCTTTAAAAATTCTGCCTGTCCCATCTTCAAAGCTTGTGATCCTTGCTCTTGTTTTTTCTTCCCCTGTGCTTGGCCTGTTAGCGGACTCCTCTGATAAAATGCCTAATGATCAAGGTAAATGAGTAGATGGCCTCTCTTTCCTTTCCTCTCTTTCATGACCTCTTATTAGCTTTTCGTTGATTTTGTTTCTTTTTTTTTTTTCCCTGAAAATCAGTACCATGTGTTAAAAACTATGTGTTTATTGGCCAAAGTGGAGTTGAGTCCTTGTTTGTGGCACTTGGGGTATCTGAAAAGCTGGGAATCTACTTAGGAGCTAAATAGACTGGCAGAAAAAAAAAACAAAAAACTGAGTTCTGCCCCTGTAGGAGATTGGTAAGATTATCGTTTGCACTAAAATATTGAAATTCTGTAACAGTAATAGGCATTTGTGCCAGGATGAGAACAAGCATACCAATTTGTTGTATTTGTAGCATCTAGGATTTTATTAGTATCTCTAGATGAAAAGTTGTAATCAAATTCAGCAAATACCCTATTTTCCTCCCCACACAAAGAATCTACAAATTTACCCTGCTGAATTGTATGATTATCTGTGACAAAATTAGTGCTGTTTACTCTGTTACCATAAGCTTATTTCAGTGCTCCTTTTCCATTTCTTCCCTTAAATATATCGGCTCATTTTAATAGAAACGATTTAAAGTAGAAACCTAAGAAGCATGGGCCTCAGTGTCACCATTCTTGAAATTATCTGTCAGCAAGGTCTTTTCACTATAATTGCTTTTGTGAAGAGGTAACTGTACTTAGGGATTGTCATCTCTGGGAATTCAGCTACAGTTGGTATCTGTTTTCTATACTAAGAAAGAGCAATAACAGTAAATTTGATGGTTGCTTTCATGGTTTAAGAGTAGTCATTAGAAATACAAAGTCTTTGGCTCTTGGTTAATATCAAGGTCAGAACTTGAGGTTTCAAGTTTCAAGGCTTTGAAAATGTGTTTACATTCAATGAGTCTTTTGTTGTACTTTGGAGAAGCTGCAAACATGATTTTGTATGCGGAAGAGGAGTGCCACAGGGCACCCTAATCATGGTAGAAACTTTGAACTTAAGCATGAAGAAAAATAACCATATTGTATATGCATAGAATATAAATGTGCTCGTTGTCCTTCCCTCACTTCATTCCATAAGCCAGAGAACAGTTCTGGGCTGCACCACACCTCTGACATTTAAAATTCTTCACTTATAATTATTTTTGGTTTTTGGCTAATCCTTGGAATTTCCCATTCATAGGTTAAATTTAAAAGAAAAAATAATTGAGAAATACAGATGTTAAACCAACCAGCTTATTAGCAAATTGTGTTCTTTGGCAATTATTTACATAATATGATACTCTGGATAGTTTGCCTTAAATGTGGGCTGCCTGACAAATGACTCCACTTAGACATGAAGAGCCTTACAAATGCTAAGTCATCTCCACCAGCTAGACTTTATCATAGTGAAAAGAACAGCTGACATAAGGTGTGTGCCATTTGGGAGGAACGATGGCATCAGAAGTAAGGGGATAGAGTAATAAGTATGGACAATTGAAGAGAGACTGTGAGTTAAAGTCTAGAATAAGCCCTTTTGGATACCCAAGAATGTTTGTTACCTTTCAGGATTTTGAACTTCTGGAAACATAGAAAACATTGTTTTTGTCTCTAGATTTATTGTGTTAAATGAACTACATACAGAAACCTTCAGATTTTCATTTAATTTCTTCCAAGTCTGATAATTTATAGAAGTACTTGATGTTAGCTCTACTGTTTTACAGAAACACAACTAGTTTATGAATTTCTAGTCAAGCTTTATTTGTAGAAATTATTCTAAGTTTTCTGAAGCTTTATGCTTTCCATCTCTGTAAAGAGAAAAATTATATTCTTTCCTAAAGATTTATTATGCTTATAATAATAGTAGTTAATATTTATTGAACATTTACTATGTGTCAGGCAATATTCAAAATATTTTATAGAATTAAATTCCATTTAATCCCCAGAACAGTTTTATGAAGTAGATACCATTATTATCACTGTTTCACAATGAGGAAATGAATACCCAAAAGAAATAACTTGCCAAAAGTCAAACTGTTAGTACATGATGGAGCCAGTATTCAAGTGTAGGCAGTCTCTTAAGCACTGTGCTATATTAACTCTGAGGGGCAGCTTTTACTTTGCAATTCTTTCAGACCTCTTCAAGAGAAGCGTGATACTACTTCCTTCTGGCCCCAAATCCTTGCTTTATTGGGAAAAGACTCCTTGTATTTGCTTTCCCCAAGTAGATTCTTCTATAAATGTGAAGAACAAAATTCAAGACCAAGAATAGGAATTTCTAAACACTGATATTTGTGTTTTCTTAGGTCTGCTTGTGAGGTGGTCCCAAGCCTAAGGTCAGCAGCCTCACTTTTGTTTTGCAGTGATGGATTAGGAGACAGTGTCTTTTGTGAGCAACTAGAGGGAAGACTTTGTTTATCCATCTTTGGATATTTAGGTGACTGAGAAGGAACTGAGACCCCAATTTGAACCTTCACTTGCCTTCCTGCTCCTGCTTAAGGCAACTTTATATTTGGAAATTATGCAAACAGGGTGAATTCCCCCACCCTGAGTGGAGATTCAAGTCCTGCACCTAGAGAGGGAGAGTTCTTGATTGAGCTCAGAAAGCATTCAAGCGCACACCAGAGTTAGAATGAAAAGGAGTTTATTAGAGAAGGAATAACACTCCATAGTCAGCGTGTGGTCTCCTTTCAGAGGCAGAGAATGTGAAAGGGGAGAAGGACAGAGAGAAAAGACTGGGGGAACAAAAGACAGATTGAAAGACAGACAAAGACCAAGACAAAGACCCTGAGTGTTTGGGGAATTCAGTTTATATGTCACTCTTAGTTTCTATGAATTACAGTTTAAAGACTTTGTTTACCTATTTTCCTTTGATGGTATGGGTATATGGTGTGAAAGATAAGGGCATGTAGCTTGAAAGGTGTGGGGATATAGTGAGAAAGTCTGCTGGCAGTCCCTAGCTTTTGTTCCATAGGTTCCGTGATTTTGGCCTTAGGGAATGAACCACAGAGTACAACGTAAAGACTGTTTTCCCTTCTAGGTATGGGTGAAAGGTTTGTTAGTCATCCCAGAAGGAATCTTCCTTTGTTCTCTAGGTTTCCTATAGTCTGGCAGTAGGACTGGCAGTACATTGCAGGCTCTGAAAATAGCTTCATTTAACATTTAGTTCTCATTACCTCTTCCTTACGTTAGAAAGGCAACTTCATAATTTGAGAAAAAAAGCCAAACATTACTGACACGTGCTAGGCCAGATAAGCATAGCCAGAGCCCTTAGAAGAGTCCAGTTCTTTACTACAGAAGATAACCAAACTGGTACCCTTGGTTCCTTTTCCCAGAGAAGCTACTTTTGCATTAAGTGCTATGAGCCACCTTTCAGAAACTGTTTCCTGGGCCAGAGAAATGGATATGTTCCCACATTATGAACAGCGAGTAGCAGTCTGGTTACACATTAGATACAGCCATGGGAAAAGGATGTCAGCCTTTCAGATGCCTCATTGCAGAGAAAGTTATACCTTAGTTTGCTTTGCACAAATAGGCTGTATTTCCCCCTGTTGTTGATGTGCTACTTCATTTTCTCATGAACAGAATAAAATGAAAATATTTTTTCGTAGAAAACACTTAGTAGCTGTGAAGTGGACTTGTCACACCAGTGGATCGGGTCTACTGATGTGATGTTTTTCTCCTTCAGCCTCAGGGTCTTCAGGAAAAGGAAGCCGGCTTCCAGACCTAGGATCTGACTACAAACCTCCAATGAGCGGTAAAGCCCCTCCCCCTGGCTTTTTTGGCCTACTGTGGGCATGACGCAGTTCTGCTGGACATCTTGAAATGTCTTTTATAGCTTAATGTGTAGTAACATTGTAGCATGTTACCTACTTCCATTTATTTAATAGAGTTAGCTTTAGGCATTTTTCTGACATGTTTGTTGAATTACCGCAAACCCGTTCATTGTAAGATCTATAAATAAAATTGTTTCTCCACATAGCCAACTTAAAATAAGACTAATTCTAAGCAAACAAGTCTTCCTTTTGCCCACTGCCTCTAGAAAAGAATTAGAATCTTGTTTTCAAAAATAAACCCTCTAGTGGAATTAGCTATCACCCAAATAAGCCAAAGAAATGCTTTGGAATCATTAATTTCTCCCCAAACTACTTTCTGTAGTGTTTTTGGTTTGGGAATTCTAAAAAATTCTTCCCACTCTCCTAACCATCCTACGAGCTGGTGCCTTCTAATTAATTAAATGATGACATCTACTTTTCTATAGGACTTCACCATTCGTAAATTACTTTCACACATGAAATCACATTTGATCCTCATAACACTATGAAGCGAGGAGAACAAATACATTATTCCCATTTTATACATTAGGAGACTCAGTAGAGAAGTAATGTGCCTGGATCCATGCCTTAATTATAGAAGTCCTAGAACCAAAACCCAGGCCTTTGACTTCTGATTATGCCTTATCCACTCTCACACTCAGCCTTAAAGGCACAGTTCTATACCAGACATAGGAATCTGGTATTGGCGAAAATCCACACAAGTAGTTACTAGAAATAACTCTTAGTGTCTCCTCACCTCTGCTAGAGAAACGTGGAAGAGAAAGGCCTGTCCTCTGGAAACTCCTACTTAATTGTGGAAATAAAATGATTTCTTAATCTCCAGTTATTTATTTAAACAAAAAGTGGTTCTGCCCAGACTTCGGTAAAATCAGCCTATTCTTTGGAGAGCCAGAAAACTTGCATGCTCTGAGTTCTAGAGTTTTTTTCTCTTGGGATGCATACGTTACATTTATATGCTGGCCACAATATAATATTTAAGGCTGTGAGGAAAGTAATTATTTGTTTTTTTCTTTCATGTATGCATTCATTCATTCATTCATTTGCACATATTTTTAAAGGTTCAGGTTCTATGTAATAGGCTATGGGAACAAGAGGAATGAGTAACAAACTCTAGTAGAGAAAAGGGAAAGCTTTGTAGAAGAGATGATATCTGACCCAGATTTTAAAAGATGCACGGAAGATTGCTAAATGTGGAGAAGGAGGTTGAACATTCCAGGAAGCAATAACAGCACTTGCAAAGGCATGATGGTATAAAACAAACTGCTCCCTCACACTGCCTAGAGGCAGGATAGAGAGTCTCAGGTTAGAGAAGATTGGTTAGAACCACCCTATCAAATGCTCAGGTAGCAATGCTAAGAAATATGAACTTCATCCTGTGAAAACATATATGAGATGGCTGATAACTAGTAAACTACGACTTCCATTTATTGAGTATATACTGTTATTACTCTGGTGACAGGGAATAATGATTTGGGGACTAAGTAAGGATAAAGTCAGAAAAGAATGGTTGAGAAGCTATTGCAGTAGTCCAGGTGAGGCTTATGAAATGGCCTCTCATTGTCCCAGGTAGGAGGGTCGATGCGCCCTTTGGGACCTCACTTGGAAGGAAGCTTTTGACTAGCTCAGAAGTGAGAGGTCAAATGCAATTAAATGGAGATTTATCTCTGTGGACTGCGGGGGAGAACCACCACCACCACCACGACCACCACCACCACCTCTGCTTTCCTCCCAGCCCCTAGCTCCCCAGCCTCTTATTTGCAGTGCCTGCCCCACTAAGTACCCCACCCAGTAGCTCTGTACTGTTGTTAATAAATGCTCATGTAAAGCCCAGATATGTTCTAATTTTACTAGCCCCTAATTCTGTAGTCTTTTCCATATATAAAAATGTTATATTATTGAAGGTCAGTTGTGTACAGTTTGAGTTGTCTATCTGCTTACCTTTTTCTAAGAAAAGAAGGATAAAAATGATTGAACCAAATGTAGAAGAATAAGCTCTTAAGCCTTCCTAAATCAGCCCAGATTTTGCACTGTGCTTAGATGTAGCCTATAAAATTACAGAATCAAAAGTTGGAAGGTCAGCTAATCCTGTATTATGGAAGCGATTCCCACAATAAATACAATTTAGATTAGATTATAAATTTATAAACCTGGAAGTATATGAGAATCACTATAGGAGCTTTTCTAAAAACATGGATTCACAGGCTGTGCCTTCATGGTAGGAATTTCTTTCACAACATCCCAGACTGGGCAGGTTGACTCTTCCTAGGTACTTCTAGTGAATAAACATTCATTACCTGGAAAGCAGCTCATGCCATTGTGTCATTATGTACAGCTCTGATTGTTAGGTGAGAGAGAGAGAAACTCGAAGGAAAGATACCAAATATCCATGGTGGTTACATCTGTATGGTTACATATTTTTTAATGTGAGCATGCATAACTTCTATAATGGCGTGGGAAGCAAAGAAATGTTTCAGAAAAACGAAAAAGGAAAACTTTTAGATTACAAAAGACCTTGATCAAGAGCTTGGACCTCATCCTGTAAGCAGTGGGGAAATAAGAACTAAATTTCCTCAAGGTCCTAAATGCTCTGGCTTCTGCATACCTCTCCAGCCTCATCTGCTCAACTTCCTTTCCTCTAACTTTGCATATCTCTCTCTGCTTAAGCAACAATGGCTACTTTTCTTTTCCTTGAACACCCCTAGAACATATCGTTTCTGCTTTAGGATCTTGCTACTAGCTATTCCCTGTCTCTGGAATGTTTTTCCTCCAGGCCTTTGTATTATGAGATCTCCCTTGTCATTCAAATCTCCACTCAAATGCCATCTTCTCTGGGAAGCTTTTTCCAACCACTCAGTATAAAATAGCCACCCAATCACTGTATTTTACCTTCTCATTTTATTTTTTCATAGCACTCATTACTACCAATAATTTCTTATTGTTTATTGTCTGCCCCCACCCCCACCTTCACATCTTTGCTGCTCTTTAGGCCTAGAACAACCTCTAGAACAACTGTTGCATCTTTAGGCCTAGAACAACCTCTGGCACATAGTAACCACACAATACGTATTTGTCTAATTAATGCAGAGAGAGAGAGAGAGAGAGACTGACTTACTTTTTTCTGAAATGGAATATGAGAGTTAACTCTGCATAGACTATGTTTATAAAAACAGAGAGACTTTATTTTTCAAGTAATTTTTTGTGATTTCAGACATCCAGACATATTTTGAGGAATAAAAACTTGCTTTCTATGAATGCACATTTTAAAAATGGCTTTGAAAGTCAGAAAACTAAATGATTTACAAATGGTGCTTTTCAAGATGAATTTATGTATAACATAAGATACCAGAAGGTCAGACCCTTTATTTTTCCGTGTAATGTTCAGTATAATTTCAGAAGCCTTTATTGAACACCACCTTTGTACAAGGCACTGTGCTGAGAAATGTTCATAAGGCAAAAACTCAGCTTTCTAGATTTCATAATCTAGAGGAGATAGCCATGTTTATGAGACACTTATATAAGGCTTGGCGATGGGTATTATAAAGAAGCTCACGTGAAGTATCTATACATGAAGCTTCTACAGCCTGATTGTATGCATTTTTAGAATTCTCTAACACTAACCAACATACCTTTCTTCCCTCTCTAGGCAGTAACAGCCCCCATGGAAGTCCCACCTCTCCTCTGGATAGTAATATGCTACTGGTCATCATCGTCTCAGTTGGGGTCATCACCATCGTGGTGGTTGTGATCATCGCTGTCTTTTGTACCAGACGCACCACCTCTCATCAGAAAAAGTAAGGCGCCCCAAATGTAGCCCACAGATTTTTGGTATCTATTTTTTTGCTTCTTTGTGACTTTTGTGCATGGAGTTGCACACAGTTAAAACATAAATGAAAACTGATGTCATAAATATTTTTAAAGGAAATGCAGAATGGGTCTTCTTATAAATGTGTATGAGTCAGGGTCCTGTCAGGAAGGAGGTAGCACACTTAAAAGGAGTGAAAGAGAGTTTAATGAAGGGACCACTTGCAAAGTCCTAGGTGGGGTTAGGAAAGTAGGCAGCAATGTTCAGGGGTCAGCAGCAATGATCAGCCACCTTAAGTGGTGACAGTGACGTCACCTGAGCCTGAAAGAGCAAGAATCCTTTCTGAAGAAGAGAAGGCTATTTTCAGAGATCTGAGGCAGTAGGAGAGGGCTTCTGACAGGAGCTATGTGGTGGTAGGAATGGAGTCACTGACGGCCGCTAGCCCAGCAAGGAGAACTGCAGAGAAAAAACACCTCTGACCCTCCAGTCTCTTGCCTGTGCCTTCTACTGGCCAAAACCAACTGGAAGCCAAGGACAGCATTGCCAAGTAGATAAAGTTCATTTCATTCAACCTCTCCAGTCACAGAGCCAAGTAGAGGAGAGATCTGGAGAGGAAAGTGGACAGTGTCCAGTTTTGCTGGTAGCCCCTTTGGAGCACTGTCTGTTTATGCACACAGTGAACCAGGTGCACAGGAGTTTGTAGACATAGACTGTTTCATGGCACAAATACCAGCTGACGTGGAAGAAGACCATAGGCCTTCATTCCAAATCTAAGTTTAAGAATATTTTTAAGGAAGTGTTTCCAAGTGTGGAAGTTGAGGTCGGTATGCATAGGAGCTGGGAGGGAGAAAGGGGATTCATCAATAAAAAAGGATCATTTATAATCAGCATATCACATTTGCAGAGAGGTCAGGTGGCTGCTAGCCCTGAACTCCTCTGGGATATTTAGGCTTGAGGCTCATTGTCTAGAGCAGACAGTGTGGTGATTCAGTTACATAGAGCTTGATAACAGTCTGCACTCCAGAGCTTAAGAGACTTCTAAACCCTAGATCACATTCAACTCATATCTGGCAGTGTAGCAGCATTAAAAAAAGAGATCCTGAGTTACACAAATAGGAAAAACACAACGTGGATAATAAAATGGCTTTAATTACAATATCCTAAAAGAATGTAAAATGGGAGGTATTGCTCCATAAAAAAGAAAGAGAAATTCACATCTGTGATTATCCATCAGACTTGGCCTGCCCAAGGCCAGGATGCGTGTATTTAATAACAATAAATGTGTTTTCAGTATAGAGGACAAATACAAGCTACCCTGTAAGTGCTTCTAGGAATGGCTGTAGGTCATTTTCTGTAGGCTGTGTGATGTTTTTAATCTTGCTTTTGCCCAAATAAAATAGCTTTCTATAGCTTGCATTGCATCACTTTTCAAAAAAATGGGGACTGCTTTTATAAGGCACCTGATCATTGATTCTCCTGATCAGCTGTCTCTATCTACTTTTGATTATGGAAAATGATTTCTCTTAAAAGCCTGTTTCTGAACTTTTCTGCAAGCTTCTTTGTTCAGCATTTCACATTTACTTACCTTTATGAACTTGATTTTATATCTAGTTTTAGAAATCTTGAGATCATTATTTAAAAGAGTCTAAAAAACCCAAAATGACATAATTCCTTAGTGCTTTGAGAGATTTAAAATTCCAAGTAAATAAACAATGAAGTACTTAGTCTTCAGGTGCAGAGGCAGGAAAAATCGGTTGGTAATAGGCTCTGTATTCTGTATGTGAATCTGTAAGGCCTACAGACATGGGTCCCTTTGTTTAAGGAATTGTATCGGTCTACAGAGGGTGTTTCCCCTCCTCCTTCCCCAGTCACCCACATTCCATTGACCTGAAAAATAGTTGAGCTCCTCCTCTTTAACCCCTGTAGTACCTCCTCTTTCAATTATAGCTGTTTATAGACTCATAGAACCTCAAAGTTGACAGAGCATGTCGAGTCCAGCCCCTCGTTTTTTGGCGCGTTCCTCTGTAGTCCCTCACTCTGGACAGTGAGCTACCTCAGTGTACTGCTGTTACATCTAAAACCTTCTACACTGGGAATAATCATCTCCCCCTTCCCTACGTGTCCTTTCTCCTGTCTGAAGCCAGTTCCTCATTTATCCTCTGGATCTCAGTGTCTCCTCTCTTTCTCAGACCTTGTACTTACTGTTGTCTCTCTCTCCAATACAGCTAACCTCTTACTCTCATTTGGCTCTGTCCTTTTAGCATTTAAATGTTCTCAGATTTCTTCCATGTTAAGAAATAATTATAATTATAACCCTTCCTCTGCTGCATGAGCCTTACCACCAGCTGCCTACAAATCCCTGTCTTTCCCTTCACCACAAAATTTCTTGAATACTTATCCAATCTCATCCATTCTTTCACTGCCTACTCATGCTTCGGTCCTTTCTAATCTGAATTCTGCCCCTACTGCTTCACCAAAATTGCCTCTTCTGCATTTCCTTTTGTATGTCTCAGAGGCACTAGGCATATCCAAAACAGAACTTACGATCTTTTCTGTCAGACCTCTTTCTATTGTGTTATTCCCAATGTAAGTAAATGACTTAAGCCAGAAACCTCAACATCGTCTTTTGTTCCTCTTGCTTCTTTATTCCTATACCACCTCACACTCATTTATTCACCAAGTTTTATCATTTCTGGCTCTTAAGCAAGTCAAATCTGCCTCTTTGCTTCATTTCCACTGTCCCAGGCCACCATCAGTCATGGCTGAGGTTATTGAAGCACATCCTAGCTCGTCTCCTGTTCTGTTCCCTACCCCTGAAATCCCTTCTTCACACCACAGCGAGTGTAAATTTTTAACTCAAAATTGATCTCCTTACTCTCGTGCTTAAAACCATTTAGCGGTTTCTCATGACTCAGAGAAGTTCAGACTCCTGGCATAGCCCTAAAAGCCCTTTGTGATCTGATTGCTGACTGCCTTTCCCGCATCCCCATGGGTTACTGTGCTCTCACCACTCAGGACACCATACGGTCCCTCTAGTAGACAGGCCATTGCGCTTCACTTCAGGGCTTTGACATATGCCGATTCCACTACCGGAAATGCTCCTTCTGCCCTGCCCCCTTTAGGTGTTAGCTTAAATGTGACTACTACTTCCTGGTTTTTCCTGTCTACTTCATATCCAGCCATTAAGAGGTTACTGTAATGCTTGGCATTTCATTAGACTCAGGGCATTTTAATGTAATAGTTCAATGTTTGTCTTCCTCACTCGACCAGAAGTGCTGAGGGCACAGCAGTCCAGCACAGAGTCTGACATATATGACATATAGTAGGTACCTTATTAAATGGGTGAGTGGCTTAATAGAGAAACTAAGGCACAGAGAAATAGACACTTTCATCTGCATTCTTGACTTACTCAGTTGGTGTCCTGAGTTTGGATGACCTAAAGTGTTGTTCAAACAAAATAAACAAACTCAAAGATAAAGGCAACAGAATGATGGTTACCAGAGGGGAGCAAGGAATGGAGAGAAAATGAAGAGGGTAAAAGGGGTTTAATATATAGTGATGGAAGGAGACTAGACTTTGGGTGGTGAACACACAATAAAGTATCTAGTTGTATATAAAATTGTACCTGAAACTTTTATAACGTATTAACCAGTGTTACCTCAATAAATTTAATTTAAAAATAAAGAAAACATTGTTCCCCCCTCCTTTATAAGCTATAGACTCTAACTCTATTCTGTTGTTATATTTCTAGTGATTGTTGTCCTTTATTGATTGGAAGCTTATGGAGGAACTTTCTGCTTTAGAGATTATTTGATTTTAAAATGCTGTCTAATCACAAGACAATATTCAAATATGCCCTTGTACATATCTTTAAATATATGTGAACAAAGAGGAGATACATTTACTGTTCCTAGACATAAACTTCTTGCCTCTGTTTTCTTTTCTTTGTTCATGTTTAGTTTCTGTCTTTGCTTGAAGTTGTCTCTCAGAAGGGCAATTTTAATCATTCAAACCTTTTGACAAATATGTTTAAAAGAGTTACTTCAGAAAAAAATTCTGTTCATTTTGTGCCTAGGAAACGAGCAGCCTGTAAATCAGTGAATGGTTCCCACAAGTACAAAGGGAACTCCAAAGATGTCAAACCCCCAGACCTCTGGATCCATCATGAGAGACTGGAGCTGAAACCCATCGATAAATCCCCAGACCCAAACCCCATCATGACTGATACTCCGATTCCTCGTAACTCTCAAGATATCACACCTGTTGACAATTCGATGGACAGCAACATTCATCAAAGGCGGAATTCTTACAGAGGTGCAGATTTTCTCCAAATGCTTAAATCATTTTCCATTTTATCAGGTTGCCTTAAATTTGGTGATTCCTATACAAGGTTAGGTTGAAAGAAATGTGTGTTGTGGGATTTGGTCAACATCTGATGAAGAAAAGCTAGCTTGTTCTGGGGGAAAGGTTCTAGAGGAGACACCTTCTAGATCTTTTAGGTCTCTCGTCAGGCTTCACCAACTTGATACTCAAGTATTTGAGACAACTTAGACCTGTGTGCATCTCATTCTGTCCTTCAGTTGGAGGCCAGCTGTCATTGTGGTGTTCAGAATCTTCTTGGTCTGGATGCTCTTACAGACACCACATTGAAACATGCATTGATTCTCAACAGAGAGTAATATGCTAATGACATTTTCCTCTTTATTTCACTTCCTGCAGAAACACCTTTTCCCATTTTCTTATCTGTGAGTCCTGAATCCCCCACTAGAAATATTTTACTGCTGAGGTTGCTCATTAGCCTTGGGTACACGCTTGTAACTAACCACCATATTTGATGTCTAGGGCATGAATCAGAGGACAGCATGTCTACACTGGCTGGAAGGAGAGGAATGAGACCAAAAATGATGATGCCCTTTGACTCCCAGCCACCCCAGCGTACGTTAAAAGCTTCTCTTTTCTCTAGTGTTGCCAATATATTGTCATATTGGGGACCAACTATGAATGATCTCCTTGACTTCACTTGATCCTAACATAAAAGATAACCTACCAAAGATTTGTCACCTTGAGGGAAGAAGAATCAAACAGTTGCCATATTTTGCAATTAATATTATTGAAACCAGCTTCTTTAAAGGGTAAAGAAACTTAAAAGCCACTTTCCCAGTCTCCCAGGAATAGGGAAGTAAACAATCTCCCTAAAAGTTTATAACATCTCTTGCTGGAGAGATGAGGAAGCATTTATTGCAGCTGGGGTAGGATGGCCAGATGTGAGTGTTCCTTAGGCTTCCTGATACATACTCAGTGTTGATAGGCACCTGTGGAGTTTTTTTAATTAGTAGATTTTATATTTTAGAGGAGTTTGAAGTTGACAGTATGGAGTTTTTAAAGCAATATTTTTCAGCCTTATTTGATCTATGCCTCCTGTTTGATTAGTATAAAAGTTGCCCAACCTCCTGTATAATAATATTCGAAATTCAAAATAAGTTAAATATCATGATTAAAAGCCAAAAGCAATTAGACAAACCAGTTCTTTTTTTCAAACTACTGTGTCTTCTCCTTTGTAACTGTTTTCAAGGTAGGGAAGCCTTTCAGACTAGCTGGCACACTGCGACGTCCAGTCTAGGGTCCCCTGTACCATCCTACAGTGATAAGAAGCTACCTGCCTATTAACATCAAGTTTTACAAACTATCTGATCTTGAAGTAGTTGCTCTCACTTGAACAGTAGACCAGTAAGCCTCAACACTGTCAGATAACTAGATACAAATCCGGAAAGATCAATTTTCAATTTAAATGAGACTTTGAATTTTTTATTCATTTCTTAAAAGATGTCTCATTTAAGAACTCTCAGCCATCACTCCGTCAACAAGTGAAAGAGATATAAATAATCACAGATATTTTACACGCACAAAGGTGCACCATGGCACCCTCTACTTAGAGACTGATGGAACCCCTGAGTGTGCGAATGTCTGCACACACACATGCTCTCTCACACTCACTATGCACAAACATTATAGACACAGAATTCTAAAAATCAGCTTTGAAAAAGTAAGAGCCATTTCATTAATAGGTCATTTCTGCACAAAGTACTTTATGCTTCGGGTTCATGATGAAAAGAAGGCCTGCACTTGGAAGCATGCAGGGGAAAACCAGTTTCCCTCTTATAACAGGATCCCCAGCGTTAAAAACATAAATGCCCAAAAAGAGTAAATTAATCCATTCCAGTTGTTTTTGATTTATAAGAAGATGGTAGCCTGACAGCTAATTTGTTTTTGTATGAGACTTTAGGTCTTGCCTGACTGGCTTATTTTGAAAACTTATAACATTGGACAATTCCTGTTCCTAGATTTGTTACTTTTAAATATGTTAAGGAGAAAAGATATGTTGTACGTGTTGCTATCTTTTTTTTTTTTTTTTTTGGTGGAGGGTAGGAATCTTATGCCTAAATTTGCAATTTTATTTAATTTGTGCCTCAACAGTTGGGCAGGTGAGTGGAATTTTTAATTCAAGAATCTGAAACCAGGTACCTGGAATACTTTGATCTTCACATTTTAAGATATCCACATGGCTACAGCCCTTTTTTAGAAATTGGGATGCTTTGGTGTCTGTAGTCACCAGCCACTTACCTTGACCTTAAATGGCTGAGCACTGCTAGGAAGGCCTTGCACAGAAGCATCGGGTTCTGATTCAGCTAACAGCTAATGATTGGCACCTCTATTCTAGGCAGGCACTTTCACATTGTTTTGTTTTATTTACTTCATTTGGAAAGACTAGAAATGCCTTTAAAAAGGGAGAACTCGATCTTGGTTTTTTGTGTGTGTAAGAGAGTTCTCTAGACCTAGAATGCTTTCAAGTTGCACTTCCTAGGTAAAAATCAAAAGGCTCATTCCCCTCATCCTAGCCTTAATTCTGGAAAACACTGATTCTGAAGCACCTCGCTCCTGAAAACTTTTCCAATCTTCCTCTAGAGGAGACGCTGACTCCCAAACTACCCTGAGAATCCTCCTCAGCCAGCTTTTCCAACTTGTGGTTTATTTTCCAAAGGACCACCTCAGCCTTCTGGTTCTTGAGGGCAGAGAAAGCCCCTGTTGTGTTCCCCAGACCTTGAGGAGGTGAGGGACAGTGATGCTTAAGGGTCTCTGGTTGGCTCTAGCACCTGCTTGCTTGCAATGGCCAGGACAGGAGACAGCTGGTGAAAAAACGCATCTGTTTAATGGTCTAGAATCTTCTTCACTAGACTAACATCAAGTGGCCCCACAAAGACCTAGGGGGTTCTAGGTGACAGAAGGTGTTTTCACAGGCTTTGAAGGCTGATTAAGTTCATCACAAAGTTGATGAAGCCCTTGCTTAGGGGAAAAAAGATCCCCCTGTGTTCCTAGTCAACCCCACCTGTTTGCCTATTTGGGGGCTTTAGAACTGATTATCTTGATTTTAAACATTCTGGTTCTACAACTACTTAAGGGAGTAGCTAAGGAAAGTTTCTTTCCAAAGCTTCTGGTTTTGTTTGTTTCCATCTCTGGGATCAGTAATGAAGCCTCATTAAGGAAGTGCTTTGTCTTCGTAGAAAGTTGTATATGGAATATCTGTGTGGAAATTTGGATTTGTTAGCTAAATGCAGCAAATTGAATTCTTTAGCCATTGTGGGAAGGAAAGAGGCAATTAGGAAAGATCCATGTATATTTTAAAATGTGAATGGATGTGGCAGAGCTCCCAGACTGGAAGTTGTAAGAGATGGTGCCATAGGCCTGAGTTTCATGCTTTTAGTACTAGATTGAACCATAAGACTTCAGTTCCATTTGCATTCCTTTTAAGATATGAAAACTGATTAAACAGCTACTCATTCATTCGGCCTAAGTACCTATTGCATGCTCCATTCAAGAAATAAGAAAAGGTAGGATGAATTAGGAATATACTCAAAGGAGAAGGGACTTCCTTTTCAGC